CAACGCCCCAACTACACACCTTCTCCATCCAACAATCTACTCCAAATGCTAACGGATCAACCGACAAGCCATAGCAAGTAAATGCTATAACCCTTTTCCAACACCTTATGGGCAAACTCAAGAAAACAAGGTACCAACTTAAGCTTAGCACAATGGATCACCTCCGAGAATCCAGTTAAAGCTACTACAATGCTACTACGTGCAGGTAGACTAGCTTCACCATCAACCACTTTGGGGTTGATCATCATTTACCCAAGCAACTTCGTAAACACATTGCTCATTATCACATGGATATGGTATAGAAATCACAATGATTTGATCATCAATTGAGCAATACCACGAGCAATGCCAATGTTATTACTTCAAAGGTTTATATGAGTATCAAGTGCTAACTCAATTCGACAAAATGCAACATAAATGCCACACTCCACTGATAGAGACTTACAACACCCAATATCACTAACTTTTGTTCACAACAAGGACAAGCTCATGCCACTCTCTTTCCGACCAAACTCAACACTAATCCAACACCAAGCTACTCAAGGAGCAATAGCAAGGTTCCTCGAAAAAGAATTGAGCATTGCAACCCAAGTCTTCCAATAGCAAGCTTAGACAAAATGGTTTAGCGCTTCACCGCTATCCATCCCACAACTCACTATTTGTAAGACTATCATTTCCAACACGCATCAAGATAGGGACTCTTGATTGCATAATATGAACATAAGCAATGAGTTAACACCTCGTTACGAATCATTTCTCCAAAAGAGAAGATGATTTACGTATTTGATCCTCCATCCCTGATGACTCTCTTTTCGGTCTCAACTTTGACCAAACCTCAAGCTTGCTTTCACACTGCCTTCAGTTCAATCGAAGAAAAGTTTATGAGAGAGCACGGCCATGATTACTTGAACCAATAGATTAATCCCTATAGTCTTGATTGATCCACTTATAATCATGCCTAGGAAGGATCCACTAGTGCCGTGCTAAACAGCTACGGACCAGCCTATTTGCCACTCATAGCAAACTCAGGGAAAGTTTACTTTCACCCACGGTACATGGAACAACTCATGGAACCACCGATAGGCTAACATTAATCCTGCCAACTCTAAGTGTAACCTTGAGTTGCTAATGTGCCTCACTCACGAGCCCAAGCGCAAACTCGTGCTACTGAAACAACTCAAGCCTTCTTATGAGCCCAAGAGCAAGCTTATATAATACGGTACAAAACGGTAACCAAATCCATACTCAAGGAACAATTGCGAAGTCTTTGCACCAAAACGTGTACGCACTCGGATCACCGTTTTCATCTCTGCGTATGCAACGAGACTAGTTGCCCAATCTCATTGAATAGTACTCGCTGAGACTCATCCTCTGATACCAAATGTAGCGCACGTGGTTTTGACCCTTTATCCTATGGTGATTTACCATAGGATAACACCACGAAGCGGAACCTAAACCCTCTTTGTGCCACGTGACAGATGCCACGTGTCATATACCACGTGTCCGTGCCACGTGTCCATAGGAACCCGAGGTTCAGGGCCTTGGGCCATTGAACGAAGGAACGGTGCCAAACTCCCAAGCGTGACGCCAAAGAGTGATGGAACCGGACCACGGAGCAACTCCCGAGCATATAGCCCAAGGAGCGAAGGGACAGGAGCCCGGAGCGACTTGGAACAGTCCTGGAGCAACCAGCATACCAATGCCAGGACCAGCACGCAAAACGGAGCCAAACGGAGTCTGGCGCTATTTCAGCATACCGGTGGCCTAATGTGAGGATATGGGTACTCCACCAGCTAGCATGGAATGGAACTTGGGCTTAGACCCAAGCCGGACGCAGAACAAGGACAGGCACGCAAGCGGGAGCTAGACTATGCCTTAGGTTGGTCGGCCATGCCCGACCTACCCACTATCCCTACTATACATTTGGAACCCCCCATAGCCCCCCCCCCGTTGAGGAACACACGCTTTGGGCTTTCACCCCAAGCCTCCCTTAGTATTAGGAGTTAGTCTCTGGGACAAGCTCGAAACTTACTAAATATGGAATGTCCTTAGATTGCGAATTTGGACACGGGACGAACACCATTGTGGTCAGGCCGATCTCTACATTCCGTAGATATGCCAAATGAGCAAATCTGGACACTTTCCATAAATAGCATCTGGGACAAATTGAGACTAACACAAAGGGCATGATAGCGAGGGTGTTTGGCAGACACGGTAAGCTATCATCTAGCGATGTTGAGGGACCAAGCTTAATATCGCGGGGGTTCCCAACACTAGCAAGTGCAAGTCAACGAATGAGTTTCTCTAACCAGGTCAAGTATGCTTGACTAATAGCACTTAGGAATTCCATCCTTATGCCCATCTAGTCAAGTGCACACGCGAGGACCAGTTTCTCAACTAGCTTAGGCGGAGACTAATAACGGGTCTAGCAATACCGACCTCCTGCCGTCGTGGCAGTAAGGTAAGAGTGTCCGTAAGGATTGGCCGACAGGTAACTTTCGATACCCGAAGTCACATTCGCGACAGTAATTTCCCATGAGATATATAATGCATTTTATTTCTCTTCCTTTTAACTAAATTGAAAAAGGGGTAATTGTTTAATGAGATAGCCCTTAATAGCTATTTTATCCCCATTTATCCCCTAAAGTTCTAAGAATTCATAGTGATAGCATATCTAAATCTTATCCTATCATTACATGTGTTATAAGTATGTTATGATGCTCTTTGCTCTTCATGACACAATCATTGTAATAATTACATAGCTAAAACTAAGAAGTAAAAACCTAAGAAAGAAAATTCTATATTGCACTTTGCAATATATATAAACTCAATAAACCACTGCAATATTAAAAACTTATATGTGTGATTAAGAACACAAAGAATCAATAAAACTAACACCTTATCATGGCTATAATACAAATTATTTACTCAATGCCCCAAACACCAAAAAAAGCATTGCACTTGCATATGTGCTCCAATTGACTGTATTTGCTGCTACTCCAATTAATTGCTACTTAGATTAGAGTACCACACCATAAACAAGCTGCAAGTAATTAAAAGTACTTGCTAAAGTAATCAAAATACTATATTTACATTAGAGTGCGTTATAATTGAAAATGAAACACAGCAATGTGAAATGAGAGGTAAATAGAATACAAAAGAAATGGTAATAATCTCAAGATCACAAATCTACATACAATGATATAAGAATAGGAAAAAAAACTCTCACTAAATTTATAATAACATCATATTATTTTAGATGATGTGGTATTAGTCTTATGTTCTGAAGTGTTGTACTCCATGTATATATAATATATTTTATTAGTCAAGTTTCAATTGTTTTTATAACAATTGACAAGGAATTGTATGCATAATATTTTTGCATAAAACTCAAAAAAAAAGTATATCTAAATATGTGTAAATATATAATACTCCCATATACAATTATATATTTGTTGCAATATTGAGTGCATAAAATGCTTGCAATAGTCATCATGAATTACAAATTTTGTATTTTCATGACAATTTTGATAAATAACATTTTCATTATAAAAATAGAATTTGTAGTCCTATAAATCTATATTTTTTTATTAAGTTGCAAAATAAAAATATAATAGTGTATATTAAAATAGGAATTGAAACCCACTTATAACTCACTTTGAGTTCCAAGATGTTTGTTTAGCAATAATATCCAATGTTGGCCAGCACCATTGTTAAATGCTTTGATCTACTACTCAAAAGGGCGGATTAGAGGGAGTAATCTAATCCAAAAATATTTCCTTGCACCAAGAGCCTTGTCCAAATTGTGTACTTTCTTAGTGGTTTGAAGTTTAAGACTTTGGCACCTGATTTCTCACGTTCTAAAGCACTATTTCTCTTGTTAATTTGCAAGATAGATCTTATTTCTTGTTTTGAGATTTTATTTATATCATTCTGTCAGAAGAAAGCTTTAACATGATTTCTTATTCTCCGTTTAAGCTAAGATCCAGTTTCCAAGCCATTCTATGAGGTTGCAGCAAATACCAGTACTCTTTCACATAGGGTTCTTGAGCAATCGCAGGGACGCGATTCCACTGGCGAGCAGCGCCGCCGCTGCAATCTTGCCGCCATTTTCAGTGCCGAACTCGGCGACATTGATCCTGGCGTCGATCCATTTGTAGAGCGCGAGGTATGAATCATGGCCGAGGAGTGTGTAGAGCAATCGCGCCGGGAAGAGGATAGCCTGGTATGCCGCTGGGAGGTAAGCAGTGAGGCCGAGCGCGTCAAACAGGGCATCCAGGAACCAGTCGCTGTGGACCGAGGCGGCGACTCCGTTGACGACGATAGTTCCTTGGAGAGTCAATGGATTATAGAGGCCGGGCTTTGTAACGATCGAGATTCGTGTGACTGGGAATGGAGTCATGATCGAATTGTTGGTGGGCGATGAAGCGGTCAACACATCTCCGACAAGAACGTCTTGCGCACGCTTGAATTCGACTCCACCTAGAAATGGTTCGTGAGCTTGGTGGAAAAAAAAGTGGTGGAAGGAAGAGATGACACACACCAGCTTTGAGCAGCGTTGGCACGAAATGCAGGCGCGAGAGCTCAAGGGTCTTTGAGTGGGATAGTTCCAGGTTGACGAAGTCACTCTTCTGCTCCAAGTCTCGGTGGCCGAAAGCATAGATTTCACCGAACTCGAGCCTCCCGTTCTTGAGCGTCCCAACCTTCACGACGCGAGCAGAGGAAAACGGTTTAGTGGAAGCGATGGATGATCAGGATAGATACCTTGTCACCGATTTGGAGCTGGCTCATCGTCTTTGTCTCGCCCGTGGAAGTTTGCACCGTTGCATCCCCAGGGAAGCACGCACTCACGCAGCCAGCAGCCGCGCCAAGCTCAGCACTCACTCCCAAAACGCCAGCGATGCAGAAAGGTGCCAATGGTCCCAGTCCCAAGCAACCTCCAGTTCCCAACACTCCCGTGATTGCACCTCCGATTGCTCCTGCAAAAAGGAAGGAACGAGCTAACATATGGATCACCCCGAGGTACCTTTCCCTGCTTCTTCTTTGCAGCCACCAAGCAAGAATCTTCGAGCTGCCTGGTGATCGCCAGAAGAGTTTGTGAGCAGTAGTTGCTGCTCGAGTTCCAAGCGCTTCTTGTAGAGGCTTTCCACGTCACTGCCGGTCATGTACACACCACAGCCAGTTCTTCCAGCGTTGCTTGGGCAAACAATCTGGTAAGCATCCAGTGATTTATGTTGCTGCAAAATGATCACTCAACTTACAGCACTCTTGCGGCCATAGTTGTCTGTGAACACGAACTGCGTTCCGGATGAATCTGGAGCGGCACCACAGCCACCGGTTGCGACCACCTAGAGATAGCTTCCAGTCGTCAGCAAGAGAAAGATTAACGTAACAAAGGTACTTATCTAGACTCTACCTTTAACGTGAGGGTCTCGGATCCTCCCCAGTCGCCATCTATCTTTGCAGTGTACTCCTGTCTTCCAGTCTGGACAATCTTCTGGCAGATGTTGGTGATTGCACTCGCGGGAACCGAGCCCCAAAGCATTGCGGGAGTCTTTGATGCGAGAAGAGACGACGCGATCTGATCGCCAGTGGTTCCAATGAAGGTGTTTGGCTTGCCTTTGGTGAGGCTGGGAGTCGTGGCTGTGAAACTCAAATCTTGCGCATTGCAAAAGTGGGAGATCACAGCAAGAACAAGAAAAAACGCGACGAGACTCTTCATTCTCTCTCCTCTATAAACTTCTTTTTCCAACTCTGAACTTCTATGCTTGCTTGCAATCCTTATAAATGCTGCAAGTCCAAAGTTGTAAGAAGAGAGATTTTTTCATGACCAACCACATTGCAACACTTGAAAGAGCTAAGAATATTACAAAAGGAAAAGTATCCTTGGCTCTGTAGCTCCTGCTTATGTGTACCAGAGATGAGAGAAGGCCTTTAAATCGATTGATCTTGTCCGTTTAAAGTGGAGGTATTGATGATCACGGCAAGAAATATTCAAGGTTTCTTCACGTGAAAGGAATCAAATCTAGACACAAGTGCATTGCTGGAAAGAAGACGGGTGTTTCTATTGACCAGATTGTGAAAAGTTTGTAAACAAGTCTATTTTAATTGGTGGATTCAATATCCCACATGAATCAATGAATATAAAACTACAATCATTTCATAAGGCATGAATGAAAACTGAAAATACCTAAGGTTTATGGAGTTAATCATTCAGTCTAGAACTTTGTTTAGGAAAAAAGATCTTTTTATTTCCCACATGATCATGAATCTAATGGAGAACATTCTGGGATTTACATAACTAAAAGCAATTGAATAATAGAGTCGTGTTTAGGGTTGTGGGCCTTTTTTGAAAAGGCGATAAAAACATAATAAAATTGCCAGATTCCCCAACTCTTGCATTATTACTAACTCTGAGTGGGATAAATCCCAGTAAGCATCGCAGGAATAAAAGTTACACATGGTGTCATTATTTTTATTCTACTTTTTCAGAAAATAAATAAACCTGTAGATCATCAAAATTTCTAACATGAAGATTTGCTGCTTGAAAATTCACTGCAGATCCCTTGGAACATTTCTCACATCCACAAATAGAATATTCTAGATTTAGTTGAAGGGTGAGTAAAGGTATTTCGTAGGGAAGCAATTCACAGTGCATCGCCATTGTCAGAAGGAGAGTGAAGAACTCCTCTATCTTGGCAACGGGCATGCCTGATGTCTTCAACCATTCTATTCCCTGCGTCCAGGATGCACAAGATTGTGGAGCAGCTCCAGGCAGTGGTTTCTAGACGCGCTGGAACTTGCCATGGCTGGCGATCACCAGATGCTAGCAATTGATTGGCAAGAAGTTTTGCACGGGCTATGGATGCCATGCCAATCTCAGCCAAGTTCTTTTGTACTGATCGTTCTCACAGTCGTAAACATATATTTGAAATGTCCATTGATTCAAAGGTAAACAAATAATTTCACATAGGGAATTAAAAGTGGGAATGGTGTTGGAGAAGTACCCAACGCTTCTTTTCGAATCTTGGAAGTCCATCCACGAGAAGCTAAACGGCAAGGAATGGTTTGATAATATCCATGGAGCTTGCTGGTACAAGCTAACACCGGAGGAGGAGGAGCAGTACAAGGACTTCCGTCCACTACATGCCATACTGCTAACGACGGCGAGTAAGTGCGTCAGTTTGCATGAATGTTTATGTTTGCTGCTGCTACAGGTCAAGCATTTGAGACTCGCTTTACGACGCCCTGAACAAGATCAAGCGGGAGACTGATTTTTCACGTGTCGTTGGTCTCTTCCAGTCCAGCGGCTGGGGTAAGTCAAGGGTGGTTCGAGGGTTACATAGGAAACAGGTTTGGGTCATTTACTTGTCGCTGGGTTCTGGCACCTGTTATCCTCAGCTTTCAACATTTAGTAGCACTTTCCGCTACCGTGCAAGGCACTGGGAAATGGAGATCACGTAGGCCATCTCAAATGCATGAGCTACTGTCTGGACTATTGGATTGCATGTATTGAGGAGCTGGGTGGAGGACTAAGGAAAGAGGAGCCCTGGACACCACAGGTGTTTTCAGACATGATGACGATATCTAGTGGGAAGGGCTTTTGGCCGGGAGTGGAGAAGCCGATAAAAGAACTTGAACAAGGACTTCTACTCGGGAAGATAGAGGCTACTACTCAGTTCAGCCACTGAAGTCTTCAACAGGCATATTCGTGAGGTCCCTGCTTTGGGAATTGTTGGGGAGATGACAGACCAACATTTGAAGCTGTTGCTCGTCTTCGATGAAGCCCGATCGCTGTTACCTTCCAGGAAAGAAAATGTGTGCATCCCACTTCGAAGATCTACAGGAACAGTTTAACTCACACTACATCCAGGGTCGCCAGTTTCTTAGGACCCGAGTGGTGCAATCCTTCTGCGCGGAGTCGGAATCCGGTCCCTGGGTTTTATCTTCTGTCTCCTTTAATTGCCTTCTTTAAGGGAGATATCTGGGAAAACAGCGGGATTGTTTTGAGGAGGTGGTTAGTAACAAGTGGATGATCAAGTATGGCTGGGTCTCTCTACCTGAGCAACCTTGCCAAGAATCCTACCTCTGAATCCTGCTTAGGAGCTACAGATGCAGTTAAAGCAGAGTTGTTAAGAGAGGTATTTGGGCTTGTGCAGTATAATCTTACTTTGGTTACAACTAAAGATATCACCTGGTACAGCGAGATATCACTCGGTACAACGACCATGTGTGCATTGCCATATTAGGAATCAGATATAGGATTTTTATAGATCCTTTGTCCAAATTTATGGAGGATTTAATGTTAATTGCATTGTACATGACAAACATAAGTTTATAAGTGAATAATGGCTGACCTATTGTGACCTATATGAATAGGTGAATAATATATAATAGGTGTAGGACATAAGTCAAAACTAAAATCATGGACTGCTTGTCATTGATTGCTGACTTGCTGAAGATTTTAGACAATATACAGGTGCTACGATGGGAGATTGTTAAGATGACGCCAAAAGATTGCTTCAGGAGGCACCAGGTCATTAAGCAGGTCTGGGCATTGGGATCTTGAATACTAATTAATTGACTGTAAAGTGAGTGGAAAAGTCACTGTAATTGTCTTGTTGCAGTTTTCCCAAACACAAAAGAATACTATTCATTACGAAATGACACTAGAATGTTATACTCTATCCATGGAATAGTTTGCCAAAATTGAGCCAAGGTGGATATAGACCCCACGACAATCTGATGGTTGGTTTCAAAGCCTCCTGGATATTGGATCCAGAAGTCTTGTCGTTAATGCATCTACAGGAGTTCTCCATCCTGTAGAATGTAGAATGCAACGCCAGCTCCATTGACCTCTTACAAACAGGCCTTGTGTTCAAAATGAAACAATTGGGATAGGACAAACCAGCTTGACAGGCCACCAGGCAGAGCTCTCATGTTTCTCTAGCACCTTCAATTCCTTCTACTGCAAGGACATTGTTCCAAGGTTCGACTTCCATTCTTGACCAAGTATTGAGAACTTATTGAGAGGAACTTCCAAAAGTTCCTCCAATCCTGTCATTGTCATTAGCACTTGTCGCCACCCAATTCTACAGCCGATTGTCCAGTCTAGAGTAAATGACTTTCCAGAATGGAGATAGGACAGAAGTAGAAGGAATCAGAGGTCTTTCTAAAGCTTTCAAGCTGACCATGAAAGAGATCTCTCTTGATGGATAATCAAGAGAAAGTAAGCCAAGATCAAAGCTATCCATGACACTCGGCCTTCTAAACTTCCCATTTTGAGCATATGCTACAACCATGGAAGCCACTCCTCATTGGCATCCTTTCAAATGCTAGCTTTGCCATAAAATTTATTTTGATGAGTTTAAAATTAAAATACTAGTAGGTTGAACATCAAGGATCCAAAATTCAAAATTGAATTTCGAGATAAATAATAGCCATTGGTGGGGACACTAGAAATGCCTATTTGTTGCATCCTTCCTCAAACATCATTAACATCCTTGTATCATTCCATCTTTCCTTGGTTGGCTCTTAAATTGTTTTCCTTTCTGAATAAGCAAGCTTGTCCTTAATGTACCCCTTTCCAAACGAAACAATGCCAGCAATCATGTCTTAAAAAAGGTAGGCCTTGTGTCTTAGAAAAAGGTGGACTTGTGTGGTTTAACTTACCACTAGGTTTGGCTTCCAAAGAGATATAATATTTTTGGGATTCTCCACTATAATTATTTGGACTTATCAGGTTTCTTTTTTCTACTCTTCTTGCAATTCCCAGATGTTTTAAAGCATGAAGACACTCCCAATCCAAAGATCCTTTAGCACACCCTTAACTCTAGTATAATGCTTTATTGTGCTTTCCACACAATATGCTTATGCTAATGATAAGCTCTTTACTCCAGTGTCATAAATTTTTATAGCAGCTCTTTTATTTTTTATGCCTTATGTTAAACAATACACTATTTCATTTATATGGGCATTTTGTTTTTCTGTTAGTGCATACCTTTTTCTGTTCTAAAGCATATGATTATGGGATAAAATATGGATATACTATTATTGTGGATCTTTAAAATCTTGGGGGATAAATAAAGATGAAATATCCATTAAAGGCTCTTTATTAAGTAATTATTATTTTTAATTGGTTTAAGAGGAAATAAATATAATATAATACATTCATATGTTGCTATCTATTGTTGATGCACCTTTTTGCCCATGCCTTTTACTTGCTTACTCATGCCTTTTGCTTGTAATTCCCACTTGCAATTTTTTTTACCCATGTTTGCCCACTCTCAGCACATGCCTTGATTTTTTTTCCCTATTAATTTCATCATACTAAAAAATTTACATTTTTTCTATGGTATCAATTTCCAAAGGTGAATAATAAATTTAAATTCATATTTATTCAAGAAAATCATTCAAAATCCATCATGGCTTAATAAGATGCATTAATCTATGAAGTTTTATTTTAAAAAATATTTTAGATTAAAATTTATCTAAATCAAATAAAACTTAAGTCTTATTATGTATATATTACATAAAGATGTTAATAAGTTCCTAGATGATGAGAGGAGACAAAGTGGTAAAGTGGATTTTTACCAATTTTATAATAAAAATCATGATCATAAAGATTTGAAACAACCAAAAAATATAAAATTTTATCATCAATAATGTATTTAATTTGATAATAAAATATTATTACTAACTTTTTCATACATGAAAATGAATGATAATGAATGATTTATATAATTTAATGAGATTTTATATTAAAAATTATAAAAGTTACTTCCTCAACAAAAGATTTCTCTAATAATCTAGTATTATCATTGTTAATTTGATAAATACCATTATTTTTTATTAGACAAGTCATTCCTCTATCAAAAGTTATAAAAGTTACTGTACAACAAAAGATAATAAATATATTACAAGATTTTCCTAATGAAAAAGCTTTTTTATCAATAATTGATAATAACTTAGAAATGATACAATAGAAAGTTTTATATTTTAAACTTAGACCAAATGATTTTATTTATATTATAGTAAAATTTCAACAACACATCTATAATTATGGTACATCTTTAAAAGAAATAAAACTTAGATAATATAAAAAAAATTTAATAGTATAGAAAAAAAAAATTTATTAGGTAGAAAAACATAAAAAATAAATGCTTTAAAAACTTTAATATTAACAAAGAATAAATGAAAAAGTTGGCAAAACTCATTTTATCCATATGTTATATTAAAATGCATTAAAATAATAAATTTTAGCTAAAGGAACATAGAATAAATTTAGAATGTGCATTGTTTGAAATTTAAAATATTTTATTTAAATTTGGTCAAATTTTTATGGAAATTTGAAAAAAAATAAAGGCAAACACACTAAGGAAGGCAAATAATGTATGTATTTGTGGAAAAAACATGCCATATAAGTGGAGAGAAAGTCAAAGAACATGTTTAATAAGAGAATACTTACATACACTTTATAAAGCATTAAGTTACTCCTTTGTCTAATGTCCGCCACGTATGCTTGCGCCACGTCGGACAGTAATGGCCACTAGTTTTCTTTGTGCCACGTATCCTCCAGTCTAGAAGCACGTATCGTTGTGTCAAGGCGCCAAGCCAGGAGCCAAGCGCTCCACACATCGCATTGCGCGATCCACCAAGGTATTTTAGGGACTCTAGAACTCCAAATCCTCGCATTAGCAGTGTAGCTCGCATTGGAATCCACGATCGTCTAGCAATGGCGTCGGCCACAGCCAGCGTTGTGGCGATTCGAAGCCCTAGCTCCAGCGCGCTGGGCAAGGATTACCTCGGCCACAAGCTCGCGGTAAGCATCCAGCCTCTGGCAGTGCAGAGCTCGAGAATCCATGTTGCCGCATCCCAGCAGCAAGATTCTAGTGCCAGTAGCACCGGTAGGAGAGGATTGCTGAGAAAGATCGGTCTAGGCGTGGCTGGAATCTCGTCCTTGGTGGCTCAAAAGGCTAGAGCAGCGGAAGAACAGCAAGGGGTGGCCTCGTCAAGGATGTCCTACTCGAGATTTCTGGAATACTTGGACATGGATCGAGTTAAAAAGGTGGATCTTTTTGAGAATGGAACAGTGGCAATCGTGGAAGCTGTGTCACCCGAGCTTGGAAACAGGATCCAGAGAGTGAGAGTCCAGCTTCCAGGATTAAACCAAGAGCTGCTACAAAAATTCCGGGAGAAGAACATCGACTTTGCTGCTCATATACCACAGGAGGATCTGGGTTCCACCGTCGTCAACTTGCTTGGAAACTTAGCGTTTCCTCTTTTGCTCGTGGGTGGGCTCTTTCTTTTGTCACGAAGAGGAGGTGGAGGAATGCCGGGCGGTCCAGGGAATCCTCTGGCTTTTGGAAAGTCCAAGGCCAAGTTCCAGATGGAACCAAACACTGGGGTGACGTTTGCGGATGTTGCTGGAGTTGACGAGGCAAAGCAGGATTTCATGGAGGTGGTAGAGTTTCTAAAGAAGCCCGAGAGGTTTACTGCTGTGGGTGCAAAGATACCGAAAGGTGTGCTGCTGGTTGGGCCTCCAGGGACGGGGAAAACTTTGCTGGCCAAGGCCATTGCAGGAGAAGCTGGCGTGCCGTTTTTCTCAATCTCGGGGTCAGAGTTTGTGGAGATGTTTGTCGGGGTTGGAGCTTCGAGAGTGCGGGACCTGTTCAAGAAGGCCAAGGAGAATGCTCCATGCATTGTTTTCGTCGACGAGATTGATGCGGTGGGAAGGCAGAGAGGCACAGGAATCGGAGGAGGAAACGATGAACGAGAGCAAACTTTGAACCAGCTGTTAACGGAGATGGATGGCTTTGAAGGCAACACGGGTGTTATAGTGATCGCCGCCACCAACAGGTCAGATATTCTCGACGCTGCACTGCTGAGGCCAGGAAGATTTGACAGACAGGTAAGTCTGAAGATGCAATGCTCGTTCATCCTAAATGATTTTTCTTTCCTTCGATAGGTGACTGTAGATGTGCCAGACGTGAGAGGCAGAACTGAGATTCTGAAAGTTCACGGAGCAAACAAAAAGTTTGAAGAGGACGTCAAGCTGGACATTGTTGCAATGAGAACTCCTGGCTTCAGTGGAGCGGACCTTGCGAACCTTCTGAACGAGGCAGCAATCCTGGCTGGGAGAAGAGGAAGAACTGCGATATCCGCAAAAGAGGTGGATGACTCCATCGACAGGATTGTAGCTGGAATGGAAGGAACCGTCATGACCGATGGGAAAGTGAAAAGCCTGGTTGCTTATCACGAAGTCGGTCACGCTGTTTGTGCGTAAGTATCCGGCTACGTTTTCAGTCTTCCATGACTTACAATGTGTTTTGCAGAACACTGACACCGGGACACGATCCCGTCCAGAAACTGAGCCTGGTTCCACGAGGACAAGCTCGCGGATTGACATGGTTCATACCAGGTGAAGATCCAACTCTTATCTCCAAGCAGCAAATCTTCGCCAGAGTCGTGGGAGCCCTGGGTGGCCGAGCTGCGGAAGAGGTTATCTTTGGAGAGCCAGAGATGACAACCGGTGCTGCGGGCGATCTGCAGCAAGTCACACAGATGGCTCGCCAGGTACTTTGCGTGCTCCATTCCATGAATCCACTGGGAGAGGCTGAGGTCACGACGATGATTTTTTGCAGATGGTGACGGTGTTTGGAATGTCGGAGATCGGTCCTTGGTCGCTCGTCGATCCCTCGGCACAAGGTGGCGACGTGATCATGCGGATGATGGCGCGCAACAGCATGTCGGAGAAGCTCGCCGAGGACATCGACAGGTCTGTGAAATCCATCGCGGACAAGGCGTACGAGATCGCGCTGGGTCACATTCGGAAGAACAGAGCCGCCATCGACAAGATCGTCGAAGTTTTGCTGGAGAAGGAGACGATGGCGGGTGACGAGTTTAGAGCGCTGCTGTCGGAGTTCACAGACATCCCTGCGCTCAACAAGGTGCCTACAGCTCCAGAGGATGCTCCACTCCCAGTTTAAAAAGGCTCTGTAAAAAAACGAGTTATACTAACTTCATGAGTGAATGTTTTGGATTGGAACTATAAATATCCTCTTAGAATATTCATGTATTTTGAAGTAATTTACAAGACCCAAATGCTCAAGATTTTAAATGCCTCACCAATTTGCCTAGTGCATTGCCATGCCCAAGCTCCACTGCTCCATCACACGTAGCATACCAATTCCTACCGCCACGCCTAAATCACATATCAGTGCATTACATTAATGTTAATGTTATACGAATATAATAGCAGAGGACGGACCTTGGCCAAGCCTTTCCAAGCAAATTATCTCGGCAATCCAAAGAAAAGAAAAGCTCGATGCCCAGGGAGAGGAGAGGATCACGTCTCACTCCCATCGCCATGCCTGTGTTGCCACAACCTAGACCTTAAAACTTGAGAGCTCCATGTCTCTGCATCTATTTTTCTCCCAAAGTTTAGCAAAAAGGATGTGAGAGCTTGTTCTTTAGAAGGCTCGCCCACATTTTGGCGATCAAATAATGAGCCACTGGCAGCCCAACAGAATTATATCGCGGTGGAGAATTCCATCAAACACAGCCCTTAAAAAGGAAGAGACTTGTTCTCTCGCGATCCAAATCCTGTGGATCCCAAAACCTTTGCGTCGATTCCAGTGGCTCTTACCCGCTGGAGAAGGAAGAGCTCAACAACCTGAAGCCATTGTCTCCCGCACGGGGAATAGGCTGGTGGATATTCGTATCATCCATGGAATATAAATCATAACAATATGATTATCTCCTTTGAGCATTTCTCACTTAGCTTGGTTAAGAGATTTACCTCTTGACAAAGCAGTCCTTTTCCTGAGACTTTTAGAAGCAATAGTAACTGAGTTTAACAAAGGGGTTAAATTTTACATTCGTTAGGTTAGGGTTCCCGCACTTTTACACAGTGCTTAACTTAGGATAAACCTACACCATTAAGGTCGGGTCGGGTAAGGTAAGAGTGCAAAAGTGACCGGCATACCGAGAATTGAACTCGGGACCTCTCACACCATAATGATATAATATGCTCTTAGAATATTCATTTTTGTTTTGAATAGTAAAAGTTTAACAACTGGGAACAGAAAGATCTATAACATTACAGACACAAGAAAATATCTAACATTTGTAGCACACAAATTAACTGAAATTAAGCGAGTGTAAACACCGGGAATGCAAAACAAGTAATCGGAAGATGCTGCAGTGAGCAGATTAAGGCAAGTAAAATGACCCGCACCGCCATTTTCTTGCACAGCAAGCCAACCTTGATTCATCTCGGAAATGAATACCCAAAGGTGACTTGCCTGGCACTCATAAGTTGGTTGGAAATCAGTATTTTATTCACTCACTGACTTGTGCAAGGCTTCTTCTTCTTCTTCTTCTTCTTCTTCTTCTTCCAAGGTTTGGTTTTCCCTTCCTTCCCATGCACACCACTTCGAATCTCTTCCATAGTCTTTCTTTCGCTCTCTCCTCTTACCCTTTTGGTGGCATTTGCACAGTGCTGGCACCTCTCGAATTCCATCCAAAAGAGCTCCAGCTTCCATCATTTGAGCTTCTTTCTTTCGGGATCTGAGCTTTGTCCCAAGAGCTGGATGAACTGACATAGCCGAGCTCCATCGAAGCAGCAGCGAGTAATGCAATCACCCGAGAATTCACGATCCAATAACTTCGCGCTTAGATTTGTACTTACGGGTTTAGTTTTGTTGCAGGACAGGAATGTCTCCGTTTATGCACGGCCACTCGCACGTCCCTCCGGGTTTTCGGTTCCACCCCACGGACGAGGAGCTCGTTGGCTACTACCTGTACAAGAAGGTGTCCTCGGAGGCCATCGATCTCGACATAATCCGGGACATTGATCTCTACAAGATGGAGCCATGGGACCTGCAAGGTATGGAAGAATTTGTAGCCTCTAGACTCTAGAGCATTCCAACTTCTGCAAGAATGGTAAATCTTTGACAAAGGTTGGGATCACAGAGGATTGCGCGAGCTCGGCAGATCAGAGCGAGTGGTACTTCTTCAGCCACAAAGACAAGAAGTATCCGACCGGGAGCCGAACCAACAGGGCCACAACAGCGGGGTTCTGGAAGGCAACAGGGAGGGACAAAGCCATCCACACCAAGTTCAAGCTGATTGGGATGAGGAAGACGCTGGTGTTCTACAAGGGACGGGCGCCAAACGGGCAGAAGACCGACTGGATAATGCACGAGTACCGGCTGGAGGACGAGCAAAGCGGCAGCGTAAGCTAGAAACTTGGAATCTATCTTTCTCATCTTAAAAGTACCCCAATTTTTCGCAGGAGGAAGGATGGGTGGTGTGCCGGATGTTCAAGAAGAGGCCGCCGCAGCGATGCCAGAGCACGGGCTCTTGTTCATATCTCTACGACGAGCACCAGCAGCAGCAGCAGCTGCAGCAACACCAGCAGCAGCAGCAAAACATGGCGGCGTCCAGCAGCAGCTGCATGCAAATGCAACAGCAGCCTGTGGATCTCTTCTCGTACAAGCACGAAACTTTGAATCCCAGCATCGAGAGCAGTAGAAACACGTACCAGGATCCCTTTTCTCATCTCCCGCAGCTGGAAAGCTACGAGGTACGTCCTGCAAAAACATCGCCTTTCAAGTGTCAGTAACACGAGTACTATGATTTACATTTTTCACCTGCAGTAAGTAGTAGCTTGCAAGGCGCGCCATTTTCTTCTTTACCCCTACACTGTGACATTCCAAAAGCATAAGGACGGCCACCAACACAAGCGCAAAAAGACAACATTGATAAGTCTTGCTCGATGTGAATAGCTAACCTTTGACATCGTCCGTCAACCCTGTGAAATTGTTGATCCTTCACTAACATTATCAATAATAAAGCGAGAGAGAAAGAAGATCGAGAGCGTCTCAGCCTTCATTGAAAAAACGTACCATGGATCTAGAATACAATGTCGTATGTAGCCAGCCAGTAGGCTATAGTACGACGATCTTCTCACAAACTATCTTCCCTGCATTATTCCGCTAAAAACTTGGCTGTTGCCTGCCAGTGTAGCTTCCCACTCAATGGAGTTAAACAAAACGTGAGAGAGCGTGAACACGACCTGCTTCATGTCAGGCCTCAGCAGAGGGTCTTCCTCCACGCACTGCTTGCCAAGAACTGACACCTTCAGCCGGTCGAAACAAAGCCAGTTAGATCTCACAAGGTACTCTTTGATCGAAAAATCGAATGCGACTTACTTTGTGCAAGCACTCGCTCGGGTATGTGTTGTCCAGTGTTGGATCCGCTACGTCCCTTAGCCTTCCAATGCTTACGGGGGTTGCGTCTTTCAACGCTGATAGCATCTGCAGCGCTAAGAGAATGCATCAGAAGAGAGAAAGAGAGAAATGCTATCTACATATACGCGATGCTTACAACGGAGATCAACGATCGTCTTTCCGGGGTGCTTGGGATGTGGAGTCTGCTTTTTGAAATCGCTTCCTGGCCTGTGATGAGCTCGAAAAGGACTACGCCGAACGAATACACATCGGACTTTGTAGTGGCATGTCCATTACGCATGTACCTGGTTTAATAGAGAATGACTCAGATCATCGAATTTGAAACTATAAAACTCGTACTTACTCCGGAGCAAGATATCCAAAGGTTCCTACGATGCGGGTGAGAATCCCATTCTCTTCACCTTGTTCAATTAGTTTTGCCAAACCAAAATCTGCGATCTTTGGACACCAAGAAAAAAATGAGAAAAACAAATCGATTTCACGCATCATAGAACGTACCTTTGCTCTAAAGCTACCATCCAACAAGATATTGCTTGATTTAATATCTCGGTGAAGATAATGCTGCTTTGTATGATCATGAATGTATTCTAGTCCTCTAGCGGCGTCCAGAGCAATTTGTACTCTTGTTACCCATGATAGCGGCGTGTATCCTGTGTAGAGACGCATTGAAACTTAAGAAGAGATTTCATGTCGTCATGCATACCTTTAGAAAGCGGCTCATGAAGCCTATCACTGAGCGACCTGTTTTCCGCAAACTCATACACAAGAAAGAGCTCCTCGTCACAGGAAGCATATCCAATAAGCTCCACCTAATAAAATAATCGTTAGACTTGGTAGAATTTGCAGCAACCTTTACCAAGTTGAAGTGGTGAGCCTTGCAGAGGACTTGAATTTCGACCATAAACTCCTTCGCTTTGGTAGCTTTCATTCTCTTTACTGCCACTTCCTGAAAACTCTCATCAGTTCAACGTTTTCCACAACTATTTCTCATATACCTGATTACGAAGATTCCCATGAAACACCGAGCCGTAAGCTCCCTGCCCGAGCTTTTTGCTCTCCTTGAAGCAGTCTGTGGCTGCTTCGATTTCCTCGTAGGAAAATACCAAAGGCTTCTCAACATTCGTCACTTTGCTCATGAGCTCTGAGAAGAAAAAAATGATATAAAGGAATGTTTTTGCTCGTTTCCTTTGAAGAACAGATACCTTTGGAAAATGCGGGTGTTTTGGCGACTGGAAACTCCTTTGGCTCTCGCAAGAAACATCGTCTTGCGGAATAAATCGCACACCCCAGCGCCAATGCAATCACGAGCGCCCCAGAACCTGCGATCCCGACAACAGCACCCAGTGGCAATCGAGATTTCCTTCTCTTTCCGCCAAAAACCGCTGGATTCCCTAAAACCCGTGAAAAACCTCTCAAGAAATCTCTACAAAAGCTTACGCTGCTCCTGCGCGCCGCCATCCAAGCCTGGCGCGATCGCCTCGGTGCTCCCGGGAGCTGCATTGGCGGGGCGACATAGAAATTTAGAATCAGCGAAGAAGAAATCCAAGAACCCTAGAAAACTTCTCTACGTACGTGTTGTCACTGGAATGTAGTAAACCACCCCGCTGGCCAAGAACGCGCCATTGCCGTCGATGTGGTTGAGCTGGCTGATATCGCTCCCATTGGTGCCGTACCGGAGGGCAAGGAGCGCCAGCGTGTCCTTGTTCTGGACCACGTGGCTCACCAGGTACGGATAGGTGTTACTGGAGCAGCCACATAGAAGCCAGCTGTATCCAGGAGCGGTGTTATTCTGCGCTTCCTTCCATTCCAAGCCTTGGAAGTCGCGAGGAGGGGATGGGATTCGAACCGTATAGCCGTAGAGGCGCGAGGAAGACGAGCACCCGCAAGTGATCTTCACGAAGATGGAGGTTTGATTGGAGGAGCTGGGAGCAAACATGGTGTTGTTATCGATCGCGATAGCTGGAGGCCACACATCAAACATAGATTCCACATCCTGGAGCGATTGATCCACAGGGAGCATGTAATGGAGGAACGCAGAGCATGTCCTTGCTGGGTCGGAGCAATTGAGCGGATTGGCGAGCTGGGCGGTGCCAATTGCGATGGAGGACGCGAGGAGTAGGAGACCCAGATGGATCCGTGCGCCAAATCTGCAAGAAATCATGGGGAATTGAGAGATCTGGTGGTGGATTTGGAGGATTTGCTGGCGCCCGCCCCTGGCGCCGAGGTTTCCTCGCCTAGATTTCATCGAATTGATGTGGAGGGAGAGCAAATCTAGTGACTGTTTGCTAGATAGCTCGTTTGGTGTGAGCCATTGAGACGAGGAAGAACAGAGGGATTGAGCAAAGACCGCGAAGGAGACAAAATCTGGAACAGCAGCGAGCTACATTGCATTGCAAAAGAAGTCTTCCGGATTGGAAAGGAGAAAGGAAAGAAGGGAGGGCGCTTTGATTCCCTTTGCTGAGCACAGCAAAGATGCTCGCTCGCAAGAAAACACAGAGAACGAAGATTTCTACATCGTTTGTTCTGGTAGGACCAGTTTGATCGGCGAAAGGACTGTAGTACCAATGTCCATAAATACGTATGCCCCGCCCACTGTACGCAACGCCCACGCAATCACAGTTGCCAGTCCAAAGTCAGTCAAAATGTTCGATCAGTCCACGATAGTCAAAGAGTCCACTCTAATGAGTGTTCTTGCTGGATCGCAATCTAGAGGCGAGGAAGCTCGCGATTCCGAATGGAATTGCCGTGGATTGGTATCTCTGGCTGATAAGCGGGTCGGGAACCGCGAGATTCCCCTCGAGCATCTTGACGACATTGCCCATGCCCGGCCGGGCGGATGGATCGTCCTGGATGCAGCACAGCGCGACGAGCACGAATCTCTCCACCTCGCTGCTCGAGTAGCTCCATCCCTTGAGCCTGGGATCGAGCAGCTCCACCAGGTCGCTCCGCTCGGCGTGGAAAGGGTGATGATGGTCGTCGCTATCGCTGTGGTGGTCGATCGCGTCTAGGAACTCGAGCGCTTGCTTGCCGCTCACGATCTCGAGTAGCACGATGCCGAAGCTGTAGACGTCGATCTTGCGCGAGACCTCGTAGCGCAGCCACTCGGGAGCCATGTATCCGGGAGTTCCTCGCAGCGCCGTGTCGCGGAGATTGTTGGATCCCTTGGCAGCGAAGATGGCGAGGCCAAAGTCGGAGATCTTGGCCTTGAACTCCACGTCGAGAAGGATGTTCTGCGGCTTGATATCCAGGTGGAGGATGGATTGATCGCAGCCTTCGTGGAGATAGGAGAGACCCTTTGCGATGTCAAGCGCGATCTTGGACCGAGTTCTCCAGTCGAGGAAGTTGTTATCGTCTCGAGCGAAGATCCACATATCCAGCGATCCGTTTGGCATGTACTCGTAGACCAGGAGCGTGTGCTTGTGCTCGTCGCAGCAAAAACCGATGAGCTTCACCAAGTTGGAGTGGTGGACGCTGCCGATGGCGATCACCTCGGCTCGAAACTGGTCGTCTCCGCCACCTCGGGAGCTCTCGAGCCGCTTGATTGCAACTTTGGTGCCGTCTTCCAGCATTCCATGGTAGACCGTGCCGAAGCCCCCCCGTCCCAATTTCCGGCTAAAGTTGGCGCTGGCGTTCTTGAGCTCCAGGAACGTGAACCGCCGTGGAACTCCCGGGATGGACTCGAGGAGCTCGTCACTCACGTTCTTTTGCCTGGACAGGCTCCGCAAGTAGAGCAGCGCGAGTGGAACGAGCACAAGCGTGGCGATGGCGAGAGATACCGCCAGCCACATTGCTGTTCTTCGTCGTCTTTGTCGTCCGCTACTGCTGCTCGACTGCGGAGGATTCTCGACTTTGATGAAGGCTAGCGAGGTAGCGCTGCTGCTGCCGGTGACGTTGATGAGCGAGAGAACGTTGCGGAAGCCATAGCACAGGCTCCTGTTCCGGACGTCTTTGAAGATGGCAACGTCCCAGGAACAGTTCTCCATGATCAGCTTCATGCACTCGTCCACGGAGCTCACTGGAATTCCTGCGTCAAACTGCGTCGAGAAGTAGTCCGTGTTCTCCAGCTGGATCAAACGCTGCGAGCTTGCATTTTTTTTGCAAACTAGCGGCCGGAGAAGCTCGCAAGTTCTCTTCGATCCACGAAATTCCTCCGAGGGACAGCTACAATTTCCATTCCCCGAGCAAATCCCGTATCTCCTACACTTGAATGGAAGGCTACACTCTCCCGCGAGAGGAACCTGGAACTTACTCCCCTGGAGCTTCTTGTTGAGAGGCAATGGCTTGCCGGTCTCGAAGTGGAGATTCAAGCTTCCATCGCGTTCCAGACGCATGAAACGCAAAGTCCTGTTTTTCGTCCTCACTTTGGTCCGGTCGAGCATGGTGAAGTTGGCGGAGTACACTGCGAGGAGATCTCTCGTCTTGGAAAACTTGAGCCAGCCGATGGTGGCATTGACATCGCTCTTCAAAGACCAGGCTGCGTAGCTCGACAGCGTCTGCTCCATCGTGTTGTTCACGTACATCACCACCTTTCGCTCCTCCACGACCAGCGAGTAGTCTCCAGTCCTCAAGTCCAGCCCCGACGAAGATTTGTAAGCCTCGAGCTTCTTCCCGATATGGAGCATCTGCTCGGGCATGAGAGTATCCGTTGGATGATCGAAACTTCTCCAGACTTCTGTCCCGTTGGCCGTGACAAGCACCAGATTTCCAGACATCTTGAGCTTTAGCATGCGGACTCCCAAGTTGGAGGTGTTGGTCGACCAGACGAGTCCTCTCCTTGCATCCCTGAGCTCTAAGTTCCCTTGAGCAGTAAGCACGATTGTGGATTGCGGAGAAACTGGATCGTTCCCGTTCGCCGTCCACACGAGATGATCTGGGAGGAAGCCACCATCTTTACCGAGGAAGGAGACGCCGAAAACCAGGCACTTTTGCGATCTGTTTGGACACTGTACCGAAGAGAAGCCACAGCCTATGTTCTTGGTAGCGTTGTTGACGAGAAGAACCATACCTTCGGCTACTTGTTTCGAGGACTCGATCTTGAAAGTTGTGAAGTTTCTGATCAATTGAGCTGTGGATTCTCCTGCGAACAACGTGAGAAGAACCAGCTGCGTGACGAGTATCACCTGGAGCCATGAAGGAGCTTCATCCATGCTGATCGAGTATGAAAACTTGGGAACGAAAGCATCCCTGGGGACTCCTTGCCGATCTTCGATGGACACGAAGTTACTCGTCGTCCAGCAATTATGAATAGCATGGAGCCTCGTTGCTTGGAGTTTAGTGACACCACTGTTGATGCCAGCCAAAGATGCCTGTCCCTTGCAAAAAACAATGGTATAAGACGATGAGAGATGCCTTTACAACGAACTTAGAGTAATTTTTCTATTGTAACGTAGCCTTGTTTGATTCAAGATCACACTGTGTGTTAACCTTTCTGTGTTATAGAATTAAGACACTTGGATGTTTAAGCTGAAACTACGAAACTAGAAAAAATTTACTCTACAGAATTGGTATGGAAATTTCTTACTCCTCCTTGCATGACATCAATGATGTTTGGGATCACAACGGCAACCATGAAACAGACCGCCATGAATCCTAGCCAGCGCAATCACTTACAAACAAAGACAAAGCTTCCGGATCATTGAGACAAGAACTTCGCCAAGATTTTTCTCATCTGTGATTGCGCTTTACTTCCATCTATGATCGCTCGTTCATTTGGAAGCGCAGGATCGTTCTTCGAGTTATTTTCATTTCTGTCTAGCCTCTCTGAGGGGCAAGTAGTTTACAATGTTTCCTTGACTTTATAGGTAGTCTCTTGCACGAAAACTTGTTACTTTGTAGACTTGATCCAGCGTTGCAAGTTTGTGATCAAGGCTCCAGGCTCGAGAGTCGGTTTCATGCTCGATCGGCAGGAATAAATAAAACTCCTCAATGCCTCCAATTTCACTCAGCGCTCAGCAAATTCCCTGGAAGATTTTGCTGAATCAAATCTTTGATGGAGACCCCTGGTTTCGTCCGACACGCTGTTGGAGCCAGCGAGAGCTACTTGCTTCTTGCAAAAAACAATGGTATAAGACAATGAAAGATGGCTTTCTCGCGAACTTACTGTCGGGAGACAAAACTGTCTATATCGTAGCGATTCTATTACGGCCACAACTGTGTGTAAAACTTGATCAAATTGGCGCCACTTGGATCCTTGATCAAGTGCTTGACCAGTTGCATGCGGAGCGTGTTTGGAGCAACTAGAAACGTGAGCAGTGCAAACCATATCAGCTCAGCAGAGGAGAGATCAGCTGCAAGGAAGCCTTTCCACATCCTAGCAAGAAAAGAGTCAGCTTTTCCAGTGTATTGGTTGACGTTTCAGTCGGTACCTTTCAGGAAGTTTGAAGAACGTCTGGAAGAATGTCCGCATGCTTTGCACGTCAAGCTGCAGCAGTAGCTCGAGGCCAAAGAAAAAAAATGCTCGCTGTCGTTTCCTTTCGTTAGGCCAAAGCACGTTCCATGCTACACATGAAAAAGCTCAACAAAGAAGCAATATAATATGCAAGTCTTTCTTACCCTCGAGGGCTGCGGATATGGAATCCCTTTGAAGTCGAAGATAACCAGGACTGGCTTTTCGAGGCTGTAGTGCTGCCGCAATAGCAGCTGCATAGGTAGGGGCTTCGGACAATGAACGAACAACTGAATAGCCTGCATCAATATCCACGTCTCAGACCATATGCAATGAACGAAAGCAAAGGAAAAGGAAAAAAAAAACGCTAAACCTGTTGCAGGATGAACCATGCTTGCAGCTGCACCAAATGCCAAGTGCTGCTGATTTGTGTCTGGAAGGGTGGCACCAACAGGTATATAAGACCATTCCTTGCAATAAACCAACCAGGTAAGTCGCCTGAATCCAAGATGCGGGAGCTTACTTCTTCGTACATGTGAACAACTTTCACTCCCAGCTTGTTTAACCGCGTATAAAGCCGATCCTTCAGAGTATTGAATGACATAACAGGTCTTGCAGCTAGACAGGTTTCCTGCAAAATGATCAGGTCAAGCTCGCATAGAGAAACAAAGGAAGAATTATTAACCTCAAAAAAGACTCTGGTTTCTGAGAAAGGCATGACATACAGAAACGACGGAACTTCGCCGTCTCCTGATTCAGCTTTGTAATCTCGATAGTCCATAAACACCATCACATTCGGATCGTACGGATGTTTCTCGACCTGCAATAGAAAAAAACTCAATCCTTAAACAATCAAAATGCACGATCCTCGAACCTCAACTTCAATGCCGTATGCCGTCTGGACGCTCATTCCTCGCTCTTCAAGCGCCTCGTACTTCAAAAACTTACCAGATGCCGCACCTGAAGCAAATGTAGCCAACCTGTAAACTAATGTGAATCAGGAGAACATGCCGCCGCAACGAACAGAGAACCTGCACTTGATGGATTTCCCACTTGCGCACGCAAGTGTACTCCCACTGTTCTTGTCAACCCGGGAAATATCTTCAACTTCCGAGCAGTGATACAAAACGTTCGCTTCTTGGCACCTGTCATAAAAAACTAGTTATGCTCTCGACCAACCAGACAGAACTAAAGAATGAAAAACTGTCACACACCTCCTCAGCAGTTCTTCCCGAAGTTGGTCACGTCCCACGCGACCATAAGCACGCCCCAGCAGCAAACAATCGTTATCCGTGAAGTACATAGCCGTGTCTTTCCAAGTATGCTCGATGCAACTTTCCAGCCCAAGAGCTGCCAGGAAAACAAAAGACGCAAACCGTAAAGCTCAGCTGCCTTTGACAAAAACCTGAGAGGGTTTTTTTTGCGTACCATCAAACTCGTCCTGCCAAACTCCATAGTTGTTCGTGAATGGCATGTCCGGACCCACGAGCACCACACTCAATCCTCGCCTGGCTGCCTCGGAAGCTAGCGCGAGGCCTGCTGGTCCACAGCCTATCACGGCCAGATCAAGCACCTTATCGTCAGTGAATGCCGTCAACTGGATCAAAAAACCAAAGTGAGAAAAACAAGGAAAAAGGAAATGAAGAACACCATCGAACCTTGTCAGCGATCTTTGGTTGATCCATGGGCTTCAAAGCTTGCATCTGGACGAAGCTAAGCTCTTGGCCCCCAGCCTTGACATAGTCTCCCTCGTCGACATAGTTCTTCTGGAGAGGAGCCACTGCCGCTTTGGCATAGCTTTGCTGCTTTCTTGAGCTCCTACAATAAGAAATCCTGGCAATTCCACAGCCCCTTTGTAATTCTTTGGCGAGAAAACCAGTCGAGAAGGCGGTGGATGGTTTGATCAAGGACGCCATTTCAAGAAAAGTAGCTCAACTTGCATCAACCACAAATTTCCTCTCTACGCGTGTCACGGCAAATGTATTTTAACAAATGTCTCCAGGAATGTCCGCTAGGAAAGACAAAGAATCTCCTATTCACTACAGACAGAGCTCCTATTGAAATCACCCGGCATTCCTGAAAGATCGCATGGATTCGATCAACATGGAGCATCCAATCGACAGGGGCAAGAGAATAGGATCCAAATATTCCTTACCGGGAGCGCGCATTCTCCGCCATCGCAACGATAGCAGCAACCATAGCTGGGAAGAACCCTAAATCCAAATCGACGGCTGGGACCGTCTTATCCAGTGGGATAGCCCGCCAAATATTTTGGAGCAAAGCCCTATGGATATGGCCAGCACTTCCTCCAGCGTCGCCAGCTGCGCCATCGTCAGGGCGAGGATCGTGTCCAGGATCGCCATCGCCAGGAGCCGTGCCGTGCTGAGATGTGAGCGATGCAAATCCAGGGCCCTCGGGCTCCAGGTATCCTCTAGTTTCTTCTCCACTCGTCGCGATTCGACTGGCTATGGAAGGAGGAGAAGGACAATGCGAGGGCTCGCCGCATTGGACAAAGAGGAAGGATCCTCCCCTTCCAGTGTAGTAGAGATTGAGGGGAATGAATCAGATGGAATAGAAGAATCGGCTGGAGAGACTGTGGCGAGAGATCTTACTCCAGAAGAAGAGGAGGATCAAGAGTGCCTCGATCAGATCCTCAGAGTACGTAGAAAACTTTTCCTTCTTCCAGTTTTCATTCGTTTTCTTTGTTGTAGATACTGGAGCTTCTAAGGATCAACAGAGACATGACTCCCAACGAGGTGCGACCTTTCTTTCCATGACCTCGCTGCCATCGTCTTACATTTTTTTGTTTCTTCTCGTGCTCCTTTTTTCATCCCAGGTCAGGCTCATTGTTATGATAGAAGATCCTCGTGAGGCGGAAACTGCTGGAGTGCTCACCGAGGATGGTGAATGGACGAGCTACCGAGATGAAATGGGAAACGCTTTGACAGACGTGAGCTCACTCCACCTTTCTCGTTTTACGGAATCATAGCTTGTGCCTCTGGTTTTCTCTATAGATCAGCGAAGGTAGAATTCCAGACGATCGAGAACTCCTGCGAGCGCTAAGGAACGAGCTACTCAGCTGGCCCAACCTTGAAGTAAGCATTACTCTTTCCTTTTGTTGTTTCCAGTGCTCAGTTTCTCGTGAAAACTCTCGAAGGAAATGGCTGACAAAAGAGATCCTCGTCAATCATCTTACGCTCAAATCACGGATACCGGAGTTGATCCAGTTTTCGCCGGCAAGCGTGCCAAGGTTGACGCCAAGGTGGACGCCAAGGTGGACGCCAAGGTGGACGCCGATCCGCTCAAGTCGACACCGGGTGGGGGCTGGGACGAGGCGGCGGAGATTATACCCGGCAAGGAGAAAGACATGTCTGAGAAGTTGCCTCCAGCATTTGTAAGTTAGCTCTCTCAAGTTTTTTTGGTTTTTTTTTCTGATCTCTACTAAACGTTTCCAGGGATACAGCCTGCTTTACTTAGTGAGCTTGTTGCCGATACTCATAGGTGTCGCTGTGGTTGCAATCCTTTTCTTCAACTCTTTTCAGTGATTTGCGCCACAGAACTTACCGTGAGGACGATTTTCTTCTAGCTTATTCGAGCCCATAAATAAGCCTGCTGCGAGCTGATGCCATTTAAGTTGTTTGTTTCTTGATTCGTCTCTAACTCGTTGATTGAAAAGTTTTAGGAAACGACGCTTGAACGACTTGTAAGTGCTCTCAAATTATCTGAACTTGTGTAAGTGCTCTCAAGTTTGAATCTCCTGAGACATGTTTCGTGTTCGTTTTCAGGGTATTTTCATCTCTGAGAGTCTAGAGTCGGAGCCTAGAGGTTCTCTTTGACTGACTTTCTTTCTGAAAGATCATTTTCCTTGCGGACTGGTGGATGAATAATTGTTTGGCGAACAGCTTTGCAGTCTTTGCAAAGTGACAAAAAATTGGTGACAGCCGAAAGGTACCTTAGTGCCAAGTCTTCAATTTTTTTCTCTGACTCTTTATTCGACTGCTTCAAGCTTGAACACACAGATAAGGTTTTAGACCTTATAGTGAGACAAGACGAGATGGAGTGCGTCTTGCTTGTGTTTCTAGGACTTTTTCTTGTCACCAATGCAGCGTATGTGAATCTATCTCGGGCCAGCTTTCCCAAAGGATTTACGTTTGGAACAGCAACATCAGCATATCAGGTTGGCTAAATTGATTCATTTTTCTTTGGAAAACTTTGAACAAGAGCTGAGCTTCCTGCGTTTCGCCAGGTCGAAGGAGCGGCTAAGAAATATGGAAGAGGACCGAGTATCTGGGACGTTTTCATCCGCACTCCAGGTCTGATAGAATTGTGATGCTGTTGAGAATCTCCTATTGTGGATAATCTCCAGGTAGAGTTCAGGAGAATGCAACTGGAGATGTGGCAGTGGATGAATACCATCGATACAAGGTTTTCAGTCCGTCTATTCCTTGTGCTCTTCTAATGTCCAGTTTGTATCAGGAAGACATCGATCTCATGGCGGACCTCAACATGGATGCTTATCGCTTCTCAATATCCTGGTCGCGCATCTTTCCTGGTATTTGTAGACATTTTAGCCTCTCAAGGAATGAGATGAGACCTCCTGATCATGGCTGAAACAGAGGGGAAAGGAAGAGTAAATCGTTATGGAGTAGCTTACTACAACAGGCTTATAGACTACTTGCTCCTGAAAGGGATCCAGCCTTATGCCAATCTCAATCACTATGACTTGCCAGAGTCACTTGAGAAGGATTACGAAGGATGGCTTAGTCGTGAAGTAGTGTAAGTTTTCATATCTCTTTCTTGAATAGGATATTTATCTCAAGGAGCTAGTTTGCTTTTCTTTGCAGGAAAGACTTTACAAACTTTGCAGAGTTTTGCTTCAAAACTTTTGGTGACCGTGTGAAGTACTGGACAACCTTTAACGAGCCGCGAGTTGTCGCTCAACTCGGGTATGACAATGGCCAATTTGCACCTGGCCGATGCTCAACACCTTATGGAAACTGTACAGAAGGCAACTCCGCTACTGAGCCTTACATTGTGGCTCACAACCTTTTGCTTTCTCATGGCTCTGCCGCTCAAGTATACAGAAAAAATTACCAAGTTTGTATTTTCTCTTCTTGAGCTTGTAAGTTATTTAATACACATTGTGTTGTTGCAGGAGAAACAGAAGGGATCCATTGGAATCTTATTGGATTTTGTGTATTATGAGCCATTTTCAAACTCAACTGAAGACATTGATGCAGCTCAAAGAGGGCGAGACTTTCATGTAGGCTGGTAAGAAGTTGTAGAGTTGTATTTTTCAAGTTGCTTAGAACTGTTTTTAGGTTCTTGGAGCCTATCATAAATGGATCATATCCCAAAACAATGCAACAGTATGTTGGCTCACGACTTCCAAAATTCTCCAAGGATGACATTGAAATGGTGAAGGGATCGGTGGACTTTGTTGGTATCAATCACTACACAACGTACTATGCAAAAGATGCTGGCTCTCAAAATCGTAACACCACTGATTATTTTCAAGACATGAACATCCAAATGCTACGTAAATTGCAATCTCCAATCCATTTTTTTTCTTTCTAATTGTTTGTTTCTCTCCCTGCACAATCCACAGATGATAGAGATGGAGTTTCAATCGGGCCACGAGTAAGAGATTTTACTGAAGTTCTTTTATCTTATTCTTGTTTTGTAGGCACACTCTACATGGTTATACATTGTTCCCTGGGGAATGTACAAAGCACTATCATACATTAAAGAACACTATGGAAATCCAAAGGTTGTGCTTTCAGAGAATGGTGAGTTTTATAGTTTTGCGATCCAACCATTTGCTTATAAGTGTTCTTTAAGGAATGGATGATCCTGCAAATCTTACACTATCTCAATCGCTACATGATACAACTCGCATCAATTATTACCAGAGTTATATTGAGAATTTAGTTGCAGCAATGAGGTAATAAGCTCTAGTTTTCCAAATTGACAATCGCTGAAATCTTTCAGGGATGGAGCTAATGTTCATGGATATTTTGCTTGGTCTCTAGTGGATAACTTTGAATGGCTATCAGGGTATACATCACGATTTGGTCTCGTCTACATTGACTTCAAGCACAAAGCACTCAAGAGGATTCCAAAAGAGTCTGCAAAGTGGTTTAAAACATTGCTAAAACGGGATTAAGATATCACAAATTCTTATCTTTGGTTTTTTGTGCATATTAATTTCTTGCATATTTCCTTAGCCATGTTGACTATGGAGTGTGGGAGTGTGGTTACAATCCTCCTCTACAAGGCATTTTCAAGGTGGTATGGAAATTTCTTTGTTGGAAGCAGGATTCTCAAACATGGAACTTATGGGGAATGGTTTTTTGTTCTATGGTGCACAATTTAGAATCAAGATTGACTTGGAACGTTTGGAAAAAGGATCCCATAGGCTTTCATCAGCTCCACGCCTCTCTTCCTCTCTTCAATCGTCTCGAGTGGTGGCGACATCTCGAGTCCACCGCCGGAGCTAGCAGCTGTGCCAACGTCGAGAAACCACTGCTCAAATCCGCCAGGGGCGTAAGTCACAAGCATCCGGGCAGGCTTGTCAAGCTCGTTGGCAAAAGTATGAGGTACAAGGCGGGGGAGATGAGCAAAGGAGCCGCGCTTGGCGTGGAAACGCTCCACCCCAATTGTCCAAGTTAGCTCTCCATCAAGAACATACCAGCTCTCGTCCTCCCGGGTGTGGATGTGGAGGGGAGGCCCAGCTCCCGGGGGAACCAAATCCTCGAACAAGGCATAGGAGCTTGCGGTGGTCTCGTTCGCTAGAACTTTGAGAGTGACAAGAACACCAAAAACCCAAAGGCTCAAGCCTCCACCTGGAATTCCAAGAAATGCTAGAGCTTCTCAGTGGATGAAAGCAGTACTACCTTCTTCCAGGACGCTGATTTTTGCTGGAGACAAAGCTTGGAAAAGGCCGCCATCAATTGCCACTTGATCCATGGAAAGCAGGAAAAAGAAAATCACAGGCCAAGATAGATTTGACCAAGCTTTACGTCTTAGGGCTCTTGAGCAAATAGATATCTTAGTATATTCCGTGGCTATGGCGGGAGCAAGCGATCGGCCGCTGCACGTCCTTTGCCTCCACGGCTTCCGGACGAGCGCTCGGATCATGGAGAGGCAAGTCGGGCTGGCGCGGTGGGGAGCGCCCGTGATGGATCTCTTGAAGCTGGTAAGCTCTTTGTTTGTTTGGGCGATCTCGAAAGAGAGCGTCGATTCGTTTCAACTGATCCGGGGCTTTTGTGCTGTTTGATCCGGAGAGCTACTTGGATGCCCCATTTCCAGCCGAGGGCCCGTCCACTGTCCAGGGATTTTTCGAGCCGCCCTTCTACGAATGGTATCGTACAAACAATGTGAGATTTTTTCTAAGCTCATTCAAACCATAGCTGGATCTTCTTCTTCCTCTTGGCTTCTCTTTTCTAGGATTTTACCGAGTTCTATCAAGTCGAGGAGTGTATCTCTTACATCTCCGATTACATGAAGTCGCACGGTCCATTCGATGGTTTGATGGGATTTTCACAGGTTTGGAGGAGCTCAAAGTGGGATTTTCACGTAGCGTTTTGCTTCTTTCAGGGGGCATTTCTCGCAGGACAACTAGCTGGATATCAGCGTTTGAAGGTGAATCATCGTAAAAGTTCTAAGATTGTTTCGCCAAAAACCTCTTTCTTTGCAGGAAGATCTTCTTCCTACGCCGATCAAGTTTGTGATCTTGATCGGCGGAGGTATGTCTGGATACAAGCCCATGTCGGCGGCTTACGACACTCCAATCAAGTGTCCTTCGCTCCACACAATCGGTAAACGATGGATGATTCATGGCAAAAGCTCACCGATCGAGTGAAACGTTTTGAATCCACACAGGAAGGAAGGACTTTAATCGCCCGGCCGGGGAGACACTCGTGACAAAATTCGAGAACCCAGTGATCTTGAGGCATCCTCATGGTCATCGTGTTCCAGAGCTTGGTAAGATCAAAATTTTCTTTGCTAGACAAATCTTCGTTCCTGTGCTCTCTAGACAACGACTCCATCGCCGAATTTCGATCCTTCCTTCTAAAGATGCTGGCTTTGCGAGACGAAGACGAAGATCCAAAGGAGCATTTGGAAAAATCCACTTGAATGGCGTCCAAATTCAAACTTAGGGTTCTTAAAGTTAGGCGCCATTTCTTGTTGCTATGGGCATTTAGATTTGTATGAATGTTCTTAGAAAGCAAAGCCAGGATGAGATCGCCTTCTTCGCTCAGCTCATCCGATCGCGAGGCGTGGGCAGGGATCTATCCGAGGCGCTGCGCGTCCACTCGCAACTCCTTGGCTCGCCCCATCTCAGCAAGAACAGATTTCTCTCCAATCTCCTCGTCGAGATGTATGGAAAGTGTGGCAGCATTGACAACGCGCGCGCTGTTTTCGATGGAATCCATGAGCCCAATAGCTTCTCCCACACGCTCATGGTCTCGGCGCTCGCGCACAACGCGCGACTGGAAGAGGCGATGGCGCTGTTCTTGAGGATGGACGGCCGGGATGTCATACCCTGGACGGCCATGATTGGTGGGTGCGCGATGGCGGGGGATCTTAAGCAGGCCAAGCACTTCTTTGATCGAATGCCACAATGGAACATCGTGTCGTGGAACGCGCTACTCCAGGCTTTTGCCACGAGTGGGGATTTTGCCAGTGCAATGGAAATCTTCGAAGAGATGCCGGAGAAAAACAACGTTTCCATCAATACTCTTTTGAGAAGCATGAACCAGCTTGGTTTTTGCGATTGGGTGATGACGGTTTTTGAGAAAATGGAAAACCGAGACATCGTTTCGTGGACAGAGTTAGTATCGGCAAATGCCGCATGCGGGTATCTTGAAGATGTGTGGCATATACTTAGAAAGATGCCACAATGCGACGTCGTTGCGTGGACCGCCGTGCTAGTGGGTTTTGCGGAAAACGGTAATTTGGAATATGCTAGGGCAGTGCACGAAAAGATGCCCCAGCGTGACAACGTTGCGTGGAACGCGATGGTCCAAGCATATGCCCTTCGAGGGCAAATAGAGGAGGCACGGCTCATGTACGACCGTACGCCCAAGCACGACGTTGTCTCGGCGACGCTCATGGTCTCGGCATATGCGCAGTACGGAGACGCCATAGAGGCTCAAAAGGTGTTTCGATCCATGAAGAAAACCAACGTTGTGTCTTGGAACGCAATGATCCAGGCTTACATCCATATCGGCGATTTGGAGGCCGCAAAATCGAGTTTTGATGAGATGCCACAGAGGGATGTCGTGTCGTGGAATGCAATGGTTGCGGTCTTTGCTCAGAATGAGCAGCAGCTCCAAATCGCGAGGAGTTTCTTTGATCGTATGCCGCAAACGAATGTGATCTCCTGGAACACGATCATGACGGCGGTCGCGAGCAGTGGACACTTGGAGGTCACTCTGGAGATCTTTGCGGGCATCCCACAGCGGAGCCTTGTGTCGTGGAATGCGATGGTCCAGGCGTATGCTCAAAACGGGCACATCGAACAAGCCCAGCAAACTTTTGATCTCATGTCGTGTAGAGACGTCTACTCGTGGAATCTGATCGTCGCCACTTACAACATGGTGAAGAAACTCGATCAAGCGACCAGATATTTCATGGAAATGCCCGAGGCCAACTTAGTCGCGCAAACAAACATGGTTTCGGGGTATGCCCACAACGGACATCTCACAAAGGCCAGAGAGCTGTTTGATAGTATGAAGCAGCGCAACCTCCTTGCATGGACCACCATGCTCACGGGATATGCCCAAAGGGGGCATAGCAGCGAAGCCTTTGAGCTCTTCCATCTCATGGGACTGGAAGGGATCGAGCCCGACGAGCTCGCATTCATCGCGGTTCTCACGGCACACAGCCATGTCGGACTCCTCAAAGAGGGTCTCGAGTGTTTCAAGTCGATGATCGCGGACAGGAAAGTCTCCCCAGTTCTCCAACACTACCACTCCATACTTGATCTCCTGGGCCGCGCGGGAGAGATTGTGGAAGCCGAGAACTTGATCTACTCCATGCCATTTCTCCCGGACGAGGTCTCGTGGACGATCTTGCTGGGAGCTTGTCGAGTCCACCGCGATTCCAAGCGAGCCAAAGAGATCGCAGATACGATGATGAATGTGGATCCATCAAAGGGCGCTTCGTACGTGCTCTTGTCAAACGCTGTTGTGGATCATTCCCGCCATCTATGATTGTAAATGCAAGAACTTTCTTAGTCAACGCACAGCGACTTAAAAAGTCCCAAGTGTTTGACTTTTCACTGCTGGCCTGGTCAACTTATCCTCTGGCCGGCACTTGACTTCTAAGCTTTTGACCAAGTCTGGGTGGTGTAGCTGGTCATCACGCTAGTCTCACACACTAGAGGTCCCCGGTTCGAACCCGGGCCCAGACACTCTCTCGTTGTCGTCATGCCAGCTCAGCAACCAGCAGCCACCTAATTGACAAAGCTCCTCTTGCCTTGATTAAAAGCTCGGTTTCCCATTGATGCCAAGGCTGTTAGTTAAGCGACTTTGTCCACACGGTTTGTGGAGGATCCTTTCTGGGAATTAACCGGCTAGGAGTTCTAGTAGCGCTGTAGTTTAGTTAGCTAGCGTCGCGAGTCGCGATAAGAGAGAAAGAGAGGGAAAGAGAGGAAAGTATAGCGTTCTTTAGCTAGGGTTCTTACAATCTTCCATTCTTTCTTCCAGCTACTTGCAATTGGAGCGCTGGAGCGAATTGCCTAGCGCGATTTGGATGGGGCATTTGCAGGGATTCGTGTTCTTGATCGTCGCATTGCTTCTTCTTGCTCAATCCAGGGCCGAACTATTGTCCGGTCATGCCGATGTGCTCGCCGGGATGATTCGAAAGCCTTGCCAGGGCCGCATTGGAGAGTGTAGCGACGACGAATTCGAGCTGAGCTCGCCGCTACTCCGGCGCCTCCTCCAGCAGCAGCAAAAGCAGTACATCAGCTATGGCTCGCTCCAGGCCAATAGGGTTCCTTGCCCGCCGGGCTCCGGGCGCTCCTACTACACCAACAATTGCAACAGAGCCACCGGCGCGGCAAACCCTACGCAGCGCGGCTGCTCCACAATCACTCGCTGTCAGCGAGACACAGGCTAGCGGCGTCGCGGAATCGATTTGCGGAGGTATGGTGGGCGAAATTCCTTTCGATTGCTAGCTCTGGAAGAGAATTCTCTCTCGCCTCCTCTTCTATCTCCTATATCTTCTTCGATTCCTGGGTATGGCGAGGGAAGTAAAGATTCTTTGGGCTTGTACTACTGGCTGGCTTAATAATCTTCTTCACGACCACATTGTTGGAGATCGAGTGTGTCTATATGATCATACGTTCTTCTTCATCACTAATAAAGAGCTCCTTCTTCGTTGTCTCGCTTGAAATTTCATAGCTCTTCTGGATCGATCGATTGATCGAGCGAGAGAAAGTTCTCGCTATCCGGCCGATCGATCTAACAATCCAACAACCAAGAGAGAGACGTTCTTCCTTTCACTCTCGAGCTAGTTTTTTAAGAAATGCGGGCCCTGGATTGTCAGCGCTAGTGGGTTGATCCATCCCATCCCACAGTCCCACTGCCAAGGGTTCTTCCACCACGAAAAACAAAGAAGTTCCAGTTCCCGGAACTCGAACCCGCGTCCATCCAAACGCTGGCTTTTTCTTTCACACTGCCAGCGCGGACGCCCTCTGACGCGTCAGCCACGCAAAGACCACGTCAGCACCCTTCTGCCCTACTCTGTTGTAGTGCTAGTTCGAGGATCTGGGGCGTGGAGCGCTTCCCTCGCGGCGGCATTGCGTCGCGCTTGGAAATATGGAGCGGGGAGCGTGGATTCGAGGTCTTTGATGGCGCATCTGAGCTAGGTTAGAGTCGCGCGTCCAGGATCTGGCAGCGGGCGCTACAGCGACCGCCAATTCCTGGCTCGACGTGGATGGAATCCAATGCAACTCCAGGGATTGTTTCGTCGCGGTGAGAGGCGGCATAGCGGCGTGTATGGCAGCAACGGATTGAAGAGCGCTGGGGAGGCTGCGGGTGGGGCGACAATGCATTTCTCCAAGCTGGAGGACTCTCCAATGTTTCGGAAACAGGTCAGATCAGCGAAGATTGTTTGCTCTCCTTTTCTAGTGTCGCTTTCTTCTTCTTTTTTTTTTCTTCGTTTAGATCCAAGCATTGGAGGAGAGCGCCGAAGCATTGAGGGAGCGATGCCAGAAATTTTTTAAAGGCTCTCGCAAGTATACGTAAGCCCACTTTACCGAGTAATTGTGTTCCATGTTCAATCCGGTCTTTGTTTCTCTTTTTTTCCTACAGTGAAGGACTCGGTGAAGCGTACGATGGAGATATCGCTTTTGCTAGTGCTTTGGAAACATTTGGTGGCGGGCATGATGATCCCATTAGCGTCGCTGTTGGAGGTACTACGAGTGCTGTTCTTGTTGTAATCAGCTTAGTTCATTTTTTCTTTCGTGATAGGTCCGGTTATGACGAAGTTTACCATTGCCCTGCGAGAGATTGGAACGTACAAAGAAGTTTTACGATCACAAGTAAGAGGTGCTGTTTTCTTGTGAACGACTGCCTTGTTCCATCTCATATTCTCATCGATGTATGATAGGTGGAGCATATGTTGAATGATCGGCTCGTGCAGTTCGCGAGCATCGATCTGCAAGATGTGAAGGTTTTACTTTTGAAGGGTATGTTAGATGGAACTGATGGTGATCGCTGCAGGATGTCAGAAAACGTTTTGACAAAGCAAGCCTTCACTATGATCAGGTTTGTACTTTGAGCGTTCTCCTTGTTGGTAAACTCATAATCCACCTGCAGGTCCGGGAAAAGTTCCTGTCATTAAGAAAGGACGCTAAATCAGATGTTGTGGCTGATGCGGAAGAGGTACATGTCTTTGTGCGGAAAGCTGAGTTGTAACTTTTTCTTTACTTCAGGATTTACGGACTGCCCGGACTTTGTTTGAGCAAGCTCGGTTTAATTTGGTATGTTTTCCCCGTTTATTAGCGAGGAGTTTTAAGCTGTGGTTTGTATCAGGTTACAGCACTGTCGAACATTGAGGCCAAAAAGAAGTTTGAGTTCCTAGAAGCCGTCAGTGGCTCAATGGATGCACATCTTCGATACTTCAAGCAGGTACGTACGGTTCCTTAAAATTACTGGAGAACCAATTACCATATTTTGTAATCGTCAGGGGTATGAACTCCTCCATCAAATGGAGCCTTACATCCATCAGGTAAAATTTTTAGTTTTTTGTTCTATCGTTGTAGTTAAGTGATTTTATCTAGGTGTTGACCTATGCACAACAATCAAGGGAGAGAGCAAACTATGAACAAGCAGCGCTTGCAGATAGAATGCAGGAGTATCGAAGACAGATGGAACGCGAGACTCAAAATGCTTCCAGCGAGCATGATGTTATAAGCGCTGCTGACGGAATTCAGGCCATTGGAAGGAGCTCTCACAAGTACATCGAGGCAGTTATGCAATCCGCATCACGGGGAAAGGTATGGGCAGCTTTCAACTTTTGTTCGTTCGTAACAGGTGTGGTGTCATTGCAGGTTCAACCTATAAAGCAAGGCTACCTACTTAAGCGTTCTTCAAATTTGCGTGGAGACTGGAAAAGGCGTTTCTTTGTTCTGGATAGCCGTGGAATGCTGTACTATTACCGTAAACAATGGGGCAAGCCCACTGTAAGAACTTCTAATGTAGGATTCTTTTGGTTCATACATGAAGCGTAACCTGACATCTTTTCGTGCAGGACGATAAAACCATTGCTCATCATACAGTAAATTTATTGACATCAACTATTAAGATGGACGCTGAGCAGAGCGATCTACGGTTTTGCTTTCGAATAATATCACCTTCGAAGAGTTACACGCTACAGGTAACTGTCTTCCACTCCATCGTTTTAGCTCTAATGTGTCCTGTGTCTTCGACAGGCTGAAAATGGCATGGATCGAATGGATTGGATGGATAAAATCACTGGAGTGATTGCCTCTCTCTTGAATTCCCAGGTCACGGAACAGGTATGGTATTTTCACATTTGGTTTTTATTTACTTATTTATTTATTTTGTTCCAGCCTAGAAGTCCATTGAACAACTTCCATCAGCGTTCGCCCAGTGAAAGCAGCTCCGTGAGTGCTTCCTCCGACTTCGAGCATTCTATAGGGGACGATATCAAGTTTTCCAGACGTGACCGCATGTACCATAACCTTGAGCTACAAGAACGGCCTCTAGACATATTGCGACGGGTTTCTGGGAACGAGTTTTGTGCGGACTGTGGGGCTGCTGACCCCGATTGGGCTTCCTTGAACTTGGGAATACTTATTTGTATCGAGTGCTCTGGTGTACACCGAAATCTCGGTGTGCATTTGTCAAAGGTACTTGGCGTTGATATAAACTTTTGTCTCTTATGTTTGTCGTGCAGGTGCGTTCCCTGACACTTGATGTCCGGGTGTGGGAGCCATCAGTAATTGGATTGTTTCAATCTATTGGAAACGCCTTCGCCAATTCAATGTGGGAAGAACAGCTTCCAAAGTGGGAAGGGGAACGTAGCCGGAACAACAAAAATGCCTTGACTGCGGGTTCTGCAACTGAGAGGTATAACCATCTCTTGTTTCCAAGAACAAGCTTTTCCATTGTTTGTCTTTGCAGGGGCAATGTCGGAACCGATATGAAGGTGAAGCCGGATGCGAGGGATCCTTTGGCTGTCAAGGAGAAGTTCATCTTTGCGAAGGTAAGAACGGATTCAAACGGAACGATGTTCACTGTGGAAATTGCAGTACGTGGAGAAGCGTTTTGTCGTGAAGATGAAGCTGGATCCTCGTGGTCCCAGCGTTGCTCGCCGAATCTGGGATGCAGTTCAAGCCAACAACAAGCAGTCAATCGTTCGTCTGCTTATCAACGGCGACGCTGATGCAAACACCACGTACGAACTCGCGTTTGAAACAACCGCTGGAAAACAAACACTCAAAGGGGGGCCGAGTCCGAGTCCGAGCAGCAGCCTGGATTCACTCAGACTGTCGGAGGCGAGCTCCATTTCGGGAAAAGCTGGAGCTCTCACACTAAGCAGTGACACTGGAGTCGAAAATCTTCGAGGCCAGACACTACTCCAACAAGCTTGCCAGGTTGGGGACTTGAGCACGGTAGAACTTCTACTCCAACATGGAGCACAGGTGAACACCAAGGACGGAATCGGGAGAACTCCTCTCCATTTTTGCGTGGAGTGTGGAAGGAACTTATGTGCAAAGCTACTTCTATCCAGGTGAAACTCTTTCCATGGTTCTAGCTTTGATCTTACTGGAAGTTTTTCTTTCTCTTGTGTTTGTAGAGGAGCCAATCCCGCTGCTGTTGATAGAGCAGGGAAAACTCCATTAGAAGTAGCTATGGAGCTCGGGGCCGTGACAGACGAAGAGCTCTTCGTGATGTTATCAGAGTCGAGCCGTTGATGCTTGGTGTGCCGGTGATCCAACGGTGGAGAGTGTACAAGGTATATGCTTTTGAAAATATTCCCTCCCAAGGGTGGCATATTCGCATGTGCTTCGCGCGAACACGCCGGCCGAAACCGTCCTCTTCTCGCCCGTACGTACCGGCCACCTCGCCACCACAAACGCATAGTGGTGGCCAGGCCACTATTAGTGGCCATGGCGATCTCACTTAGAACCCTAAAAGAAGGCACGAGAGAGAAAGCCCTTGCTCTTGGCGGAATCTGGCGCTCCGCGTGGAATACTGGCAATGGCGCTGGCGCTCGGGATTTGGATTCCAATGTGAGTGCTCCGCATTGCCACATTGCGGCATTCCAGCATTGGTCCGCTAGGAATCTCTCTCGAAATATTGCCTGATCGGGGTATTTGCTGTGGATTTTGCAGCGTCCAGGGCGGGCAAGGTGAGATCCGAGAGGGTTATGGTTTCCTGCGGTGATTCTTCCCAGCTATCGATTGGATCCTCGGCCGGATGACCGCCGCTGTGGTGTCAATGGCGGCAGTGCAAAGCGCTCCAGATATTTCCAGGACTCGTGCGTTTGCCTGTGGAGGGGCGGTGTTCTTCTCTCCCGGACCATCTTGCGCCAGCTGCAATGTGTTCTACAGTAGGAGTATGGTGTCGCATTTTGATGGGCTCAAGGCGGTGGGATTGGTAGGATCAAACAAGCTCGCGGCGACCAGGCATGAGATCAAAAGGATTGTTCCACGGAACAAACGGAAGGGGGTGATTGTGTGTGGGATGAACTTGGTCTTTGTTGCCGCGGAAGTTTCTCCTTGGAGCAAGACTGGCGGGCTTGGAGATGTCATGGGAGGCCTTCCTCCAGCCATGGCGGTAAGCGATTTGTTTCTTTTCTTTCCTTTTTTCTGCCTGTCCTCGTTTTCTTACGTGCATTATCAGCTGATTTACAGGCTCGTGGTCACCGCGTCATGACTGTTGCACCAAGATACGATCAATACAAAGATGCCTGGGACACAAGTACTACACTTGCGGTGGGATGTTTTGGTGTTTTTTGCACTTTTACGAGATTTTCTTACTTTTTTTCCTAATTTTATCACAGATTAAAGTTGGCGACAGGACAGAGATTCTACGCTATTTCCATGTCTTTAAAAGGGGTGTAGATCGTGTTTTTGTGGACCACCCATTGTTTCTGGCAAAGGTATTCGACGATTCCTTCACGAAAGAGACTATAGCTGAAAAGTAAGTGTGCTGGCAGGTGTGGGGGAAAACAGGTGGTAAAATCTATGGTCCCGAAGCCGGAGAAGACTATCACGATAATCAACTTCGGTTTAGCTTGCTAGTACAGGTCTGTCCCCGTCCTGAAAGCAAAACTTGATTTTCTTTTAGTCTTACAGGCAGCAATCGAAGCATGTCGTGTGTTGAATCTTACAGCCAATGAATATTTCAGCGGACCATACGGTAAGACAAATGCTTTTCTTGAACCTGTGTTGGTTTTGATCTGAGCTCTTACAGGTGAGAATGTAGTTTTCATTGCTAACGACTGGCATACTGCCGTGCTGGCGTGCTACTTGAAGGCCAACTATAAGTCTCATGGCATGTTTGCCTCTGCTAAGGTTTCTTTACAAGGCTTACATGTGCTCTCTGAATTCTAAAATGACGCCTTCGTATTCAGGTGGCGTTTTGTGTACACAACATTGCCTATCAAGGCAGGTTTGCCTATCAAGACTATGACTTGCTGAATCTTCCAGATGAATATGAGGAGTCCTTCGATTTTATCGACGGGTAAGACTTATCATTCTTTTCTATCCTCCTTTGTTTCTTCTGAAGTACAAAACATTTCCTTTCAGCTACGACAAACCAGTTAAGGGCCGGAAAATTAACTGGATGAAGGCTGGCTTTCTTCATTCAGACATTGTTCTTACTGTCAGTCCAAACTATGCTCGCGAGCTAATTTCTGGCCCCGAAAAAGGAGTGGAACTGGACGACATAGGCAGGAAAACCTGTATATGGGGCATTGTGAATGGGATGGACGTGCAAGAATGGGATCCCTCTGCGGACAAGTTCCTCGCCGTCCGGTATAACTTGAACACGGTATGGATTCAGCTTGTCATGGTCTTGGAAATGCTCACAATGTGCAATATATACAGGTCTTGGAGGCAAAACTAGTGTTGAAAGAAGCGTTGCAGGCCGAGGTTGGCCTGCCTATAAACCCGGACGTCCCAGTTATTGGCTTCATTGGAAGGCTAGAAGAGCAAAAGGGGTCAGACATACTTGCAGAAGCAGTGGCCGATTTTATAAACGAAGACGTGCAACTGATTGTGCTGGTTTGTAGTTTTTTCATGGTATTTGCAAGCCTGCTTATGCGTGTGTTGGTACAGGGTACCGGGAAGAAAACATATGAAGAGCAGCTGAAGCAGTTGGAAATCAATTATCCCAACAAGGTTCGGGGGGTGGCCAAGTTCAACGTTCCTTTGGCGCACATGATCACCGCCGGGGCAGACTTCATGATCGTTCCCAGCAGATTTGAGCCATGCGGACTCATCCAGCTTCACGCAATGCGATATGGAACGGTAAGCGCGTTAATCGAAGCGTTCTCTCCCTTCCAAGTTCCTTTTTTACAAGTGTGTATAGCTGAGCGAAATGGTCGTCGTTTAGTTTAGAATGGCAGGAATCGTTTACTTCTAGCGCTCTAATGCATAGTTTTTTATATATGCAGATACCTATAGTCTCATCCACAGGCGGCTTGGTTGATACTGTCAAAGAAGGTTTCACAGGTTTCCACATGGGTGCGTTTAACGTTCACGTAAGAAAACTCTCAAAACTCTTTTTTCTTTCTTTATTTTTTTTCCCTCCAGTTTGTAACGCTTGAATTACATGCGTGCAGTGCGACACCATCGATCCTCTCGACGTTGTTGCGCTCGCAGCGACAGTGAAGCGAGCGACCCGAGCGTACAAGACGCCGAGCTTTCGCACCATGATCCAAGCTTGCATGTCACAGGATCTGTCATGGAAGGTATTGTTCTTGGCTCTCTTTTTATTTCTTTCCTTTGCTGGATTCAGCGTGAGTTCTATCAGGGACCCGCGAGGAGATGGGAGGAAGTGCTCCTCAACCTTGGAGTGGAAGGCAGCCGTCCAGGCCAGGAGGGAGAGGAGATTGCTCCTCAGGCAAAATATAATCTGGCCACTCCATAAAGAAAATCATTTGGAACCATGTGCTAACCCCACATAGTATATGTATATACTCTGACTAGATACAAGGTAGCTGAGAGATAAAAAAATCATCTTCTATACTCTAATATACACTGACTAGATCGTTGATATCCTCGATCAAAAATCGTCTTCTATGATTGGCTTGTTGGTCGATTGTGGCAAAAATGGTGGAAAGGTTGAAAGGACTGAGATGAAGGCGGTTGCGCCCAGGAAGAAGAACAAAAGCTGGTCGCCTGTAACAAAGCGAGAGATTTTTAATCAACCAACCAGGAGTGAGATGAAGTGAAATTGATCCAAACCATACCAGGAAGTATTGATGCATGGGGGCGAGTTTGCGCAAACGCAAAACTAAAAATCCACACGGATACACAGTTTAGTTAAAAGCCATGAACGTGTTTCTTCCTTTCTAAACTTACACTGAGCCTCCGACCGCTGGTCCCAATGCTCTGAAGAGGGAAACCACGCTCAGGGAAAGACCATTCGCAGCTCCTCGCTGAGCTTTCACCTGGAAAAAAGCTTTGCGTTTTGCAGAGGCGAAAAGAATGGCAATCCACTTACAACGGAATTGTTGACTAGGAGGAAGGCCGCGGTTGAGGCCGCCGACTGGAAATGCAAACTCTCAGCCAAACTGTGCCATGAATCATGCTAAGGATACTCACGCCAAGGCAGCACTTGAGTATGGCTATTACAGTCACAACAACTCGCAGCCACGTATCTTCGAGGCTTGTTAGAGACGGCAGCAAGACCAGTAGTGGTATTGACAATGCCTGCACGAGTTTCACACAGTTGAGACACCGAGAAAAAGGAGAGAGTTGAAGAACTCACGGTTACGGCGCGCGTTAGGAGAATGGGACCAAATAACCTGGTAAGTGATGGAAATATAACAAGCTGAAAGAACAGCAGCGCTAGACCTGTAAACGAAGAAAACTTACGGATGTTTCCACTTTGTTTGTTGTAACCATACCCGAGAGAGCGAGCGCTTGTCCAACGTCTGTACTCGTCCAGCCGAGACCACCCGTGCGTTTGGGACTCACTGCCCACAGGGAGAATGTCTGCACGGAATTCCATGAGAGTGGTACAGGCAATTCGACCCACCTCCGAAAACGCAATGTCGTGGAACGCCCAGATGCAGTACACTAAAATGGACGATATCAATGGAAAGTTTCTCAGCAGGGACTCCTTAGGATCATAAGCTCCAGCTTTACCGTCGTTTGCAAAGACTTCGTGCTTGTGAAGAGTTTCCTGCGCACAAGCAAGCTCGTTTTTGGTCCAAGCCAATGGATAAGACAGAACTTACAGGTAGCTGGGCGAGTTGGGCGAGCACCATCACAGCATAGATGGTAATAACCAGAGCTTGGAGGAAATATGGGTAGCTGCAACTTAAATCCTCTTAGCTCCTCTCAGTTTCATCTGGAAAATGTTCCTCACCTATCAAAAATGGTGCCAGCAAAAACTCCGGGATACTTTATAGCGGGCTGGACCAACAAAAAATATCATAAGGTGATTTACGTAAATACACAAAGGTGGAGGAGACCTGTGACAAGTAGCCCCCCAACGCGGGACCGAGTATAAGTCCAACTCCCCACATTGATCCGACCTGAGTAAGTGGATCAAACGCAAAGAGATTCACCATGAATGTTTGTCTCTCTAAAAGACGAATCACTTACAAGTGACACGCTGAAGGGAACGTGTTCTTCGCTGCAAATTTCAGTAGCATAGGCCTGAAATAGATAGCACTCAATTAAAGGAAACCAAGGCTCCAACGAGAATTACCGTCATCGTTCCAAGCAGCCCATTGAAAGTTCCCAGCAGGAAACGGGTCGTCAGAGCCATCCAGAAACTTTTACTCAGCCCAAACAATGTGTTGAAGACAATGCTGCAGAACACACACAAGAGCGATTTAATGAGGTTCTTGTCTTGATTCTCATCAAGACGATAAACGAACACCTAACATTGACATGATTCCGCAGAAGATAACGGGTTTCCTGCCGTATTTGTCGGCGATAGTCCCCCACAAGATTCCAGTAAGAGCTCTTCCAGCCATGAAAGACGAGCCTGGAAGAGAAATCAATGAGCAAAAATGGATCGGGAAGTTTACAGCACGAACCGATCCATCCAGCAAAGTATCCGATATCAGCATCCGACTTGGTCACATGAAAGTCCTGGACCTGCAAAGAGGAAACTTTCTCAAGCCGACAGAAGTAGCAAGAAACTGAGAGATCGATCCTGACCATGAAGTACAAGAACGGGAAGATGACGGCAATTGGCAGCGCTGGATTCATTGCAAACGATCGTAAAACCCTGCTTGAAACAAAAGAGAGAGAACATACAGTTGCAAAGCATCATGTTGGCCACAATGAAGAGAAGCTTTTTCGGAAAACCATGATTTTCTCTGACGATGAGGATGGCCTTGCAGCCGGGGCATCCTTCTACAGACCCGGAGAAGCTTTTCTCTTCGTCCAACAACGGGATCTCGGCATCAGCCATCGAAGAGAAAGGCAGAAGCTCAAAAGAGCTAACAGCACCCCAAATTTAAATTCCTGAAATTGTTCCGGTGACGATAAGGCCACTCGCCACGCCGCTACAAACAAAGCCAAATTCCATGTCAACCATGTGATTCTTCCTGCGAAACTCCCTACCATTTCGTAAATTTAGTACCACGTAAAGATGAGACAATGAGGTCTCAGATACGTTGGTTCTACGTCTGCACCAGACGACACCCGAGGATCATGTCATCAGAAGAACTTTCACATACAGGACAAGCGCTTACCGCATCTCGGGTACCGTAGAAGTGGGGTGCAAGCTCTGGAAGCCACAGAGAGTCGATCCTCGTCACATTTCTAATGAACTGTTTGTTCGTCTTCACCAGCTCATTGAAAACGACGCAATCCAGCTTCTTCCCATGCATTATTGAGGAGGGATGGACGGAAACAACTTGATTGTTTGCCAGCGTTCTGAGAGCAATCCTCCACCACTTCATTAAGAATTGAGACGTAAGAAGAAAGAATACCTGTAGGTACCATCTTGCTGTAGACAGGCTGCATTTAAAAAGAATGCGGCTGCCAGACACCTGCGAAAGCTGGTGAAGTCCTCTCCACATGAAAGCACAGGCAGGTTAATTGCTTGTATGCAACCTTCGATTTGCCTGGATCAAGAAAGTTACGACTGCATCTGCTTGAAACAACCGGCATCATACCTATAGATATCCACGGCACGCTTTAGAGAACGCATATTGATATAGTTCTCGATGCACCACCGAAGGATTTGCTTCTTCGAAACCACGCCGCCTCCGCTCTTATTTACTTCATCTGTAAAGGCGCGCATAACACTGACAAGAGTTATGTGGTCACCGTCTCCGCTCAAAAATCGTTGTTTTGCAGCATCCGCCTGGAGTTATTCAATTCAAGTGTTTGAGAGGTGCCTGATTGTCGTTCGTAAGGACCACTTACCTCTTTCTTTTTATCTTTTGGTACGAAGAAGATCGACTCGACAGAAAGCATTGCGACAGCGGATAGCATCTCTTTGCTACAATTAAAGTTTGCTGAGATGAGTAAGGCTTTTGCGTAGAGAGGCTCCAGAGGCAGGCGAGCCATCTGGATACCAACTGGATCTGAAAGCTTTGCCTCGTCTGTCAGTGCTCCCAATATATATAAGTGTTCGAGGGACTTCAATATGGCCATCCTGCGGCACGAGAAAAACGCGCCTAGTCTGGAGCATTACATTGGTCATGGCTAGCTTACTTTGGTGGTTTGTCCATGAAATCGAAGCCGAGAACATCGTCAATGCCCAGCGCCTTCAACTGCAACACAACGCTAGCAAGATTGCACCGCTTGATTTCAGGAACAGTAGCGTTCTCAAGCTGCTTGAATGTCTCCTCCATATACAACCTGTAGCACTTGCCAGGTCCTTCTCTTCCTGCACGACCACTGAAGCATCCTGTTACTAGGAAAAGCAAATCTAGTGACATGGTAGACCAACCTCCGCTGAAGGGCTTGCGCTTTTGATACCGGCACAACTATCAACGACTCCAGACCGATGCGAGGATTGTAGGACCGGGACTTTACTAGACCAGGATCTACGACGTAGCGTATTCCTGGAATAGTTACAGAAGTTTCTGCAATGTTGGTGGCTAAGATAACCTGCAAGACACCTTTAGCAAAATGCCTCTCGTGAAAAATAAGACTCACCTTACGGGTTCCAGGTGGTGCTGGAATAAAAGCTTTAACTTGCTGCTCACTGGGTAAAGCAGCATATATAGGAACTACTTGAATTTTTAATGATCCTGGAGGGAGGCGTGGCAGTCGATCGTGTATCAGCCTATCCATAGACTCGATCTCTTCTTGTCCCGTCAGAAAAACAAGTATATCTCCTGGTTCTTCTTCCGTATGAATCTGAAATCTCACAGAGATAACTGGAAAAACTACAGTGACTGAAAACGAACCTGGAGCAACGTTATCAATGACGCATCCAAGATGTCTGCTTCGGACGTAAAAGTGTAAAAGATTTCCACTGGAAACTGCCGTCCTTGTATGTAGACTATCTTCGCATTGTTGAAAAAAGTTGAGAATCCTTGCGCGTCAAGCGTAGCCGACATAACAATAAGCTTGAGCGGTTCTTTCTTTGGTCCATGCTCCTCTGTGCGTTTAGCTTGGACGCCTTTCAAAAGTCCCAAGAGAACGTCAGTATGTACTGTTCTTTCGTGAGCTTCGTCTATTACAATTACGCCATACTTTCGAAGCAAAGGATCAAGCAGAGCTTCCCTGGAAAGAGTAAAACTAGAACGCAAGAAAGAAAGAAAAAAAAATTCTGAGAACTCGAAAGAACCTGAGGAGCATTCCGTCGGTCATGTACTTGATCCTCGTTAAGTCGGACGTCGCATCCTCGAACCGGATCGAGTATCCAACTTCACGTCCCAGCTCGCTTCCCATCTCTTCCGCAACACGAGTAGCCACAGTAACAGCAGCTACTCTCCTCGGCTGCGTGATTCCAATCATTTTTCCACGCTTGGAAAAGCCGGCACGAAGCAAGAACTGCGGAAGTTCTGCGAACAGGAACTATAGTAAGTCAAGGAAAACGAGAAGTTTCTCCACTTACGCGTAGTTTTTCCACTTCCAGTCTCACCGATGATCACAAGAGTGTCGTTCTTGTGGACCTCGTCCACCAATTTCTGCCGAGCTACGCAAAACGAGCAATGTGTCGTGTACGAGAGAACGGAGAAAAGAAATTTCTACCGATTGTGATAGGAAGCGCGCGCCGCTGCTCCTCGATCGATTTCCTCCTGGCACTAGCTTGCTGCGAATGCGGCGCGATAGCATTGCGCTGCTTGAATCGGCCGGGCGATTTGGACGCCGCCATCGCCTTCTCCTAGAAATGGCGGCGTCTTTCCTAGAACCCTAAAATTTCATTTGTCCTACGTGGCGAAACTTTACACGTGGCGACTATTTGAATGGTATTGCGAGGGTTTCGGCACTTTTTTTCCCAAGCTCCTCAAGCTCTCTCTTGGGATTCATGGATCGAGCTAGTGAGGCGATGCAAGACGCTAGAAGAGGGCAAATCTCTCCACGCCGCCATTCCCTCGATCGCCAGCAACAAGAGCGCCAATGTCTTCCTCCACAATTTGCTCATCCAGATGTACAGCCGCTGTGGCAGCCTCGACGACGCCATGGCCGTCTTCGATTCCCTGCTTTGCCCCAATTCTTTCTCCTGGACAATCACGATCTCGGCGCTCGCGCAGCACGGCAATCACAGCAGCGCTATCCACTTCTACCGATCGATGCTCCTCAGCGGCGCAGTGGCAGACGAGGTCACACTAGTCGCCGTCTTGGACGCCTGCGTAGATCTCCGCACGGGCAATGCCACCTTCGCCAGTGTCTCGGGCGAGCCCAGGATCATCGCCCACACCAAGGTACGCAACGCCGCGCTCACCATGTATGGCCGCTGCGGCGATCTCGCCATGGCCTGCGCGATCTTCAAAGAAATCCCCGCCAAGGATGCGATCTCCTGGAACAGCATGATCACTGCGTATGCCCGAAATGGGCATCTAGAGGAGGCCGAGAGGATCTTCGATTCCATGCCCGTGGCAAATGTGGTGTCCTGGACTGCAATGATCGCCGGGAACGCGCAGCACGGCCGATCCGCCCAAGCATTCCAATTCTTCCGGAGGATGATCCTCCAAGGCGATCCAAATTCCCGGCCAAACCAAGTGACCCTCCTCGCGATCTTGGACGCTTGCTTGAGCTTGACCAGCAAATCCGCCATTGCTACCGTACGGGGTCTCGAGGCGCTAGCGGCAGAGTCAATGTTCCATGGGGACGTGATGGTCAACAGTGCGCTGGTCAACGTGTACGGTAGCCTCGGTAGCGTCCCAGATGCCCGGAGGATATTCCAGTCAATGCCGGACCGCAACGTCGTCTCCTGGAGCTCCATGGTCGCCGCGCTGGCCAAGTGTCAACGCAGTAGCGAGGCCATGGCGACGATGAGAGCGATGGAGCTGGAAGGGATCAAAGCGAGCAGCGTGACGCTCCTAGCAGCGATCGAGGCCTGCGAGAGCTCCGAGGATGCGGGAAGAATCCACGCCAGGATAGTCCGGGATGGCTTCGAGAGCGACACCAAGCTGGGGAATGCGCTCGTCGGATTGTATGGCCTCAAGCTGGGGATGATCGATCGAGCTCGAGAGGTTTTCGATCGGATCCAGCGCAAGGATGCCGTCTCCTGGGGGGTCGCGGTTGACGCCTGGGCGGTCCGTGGATTCCCGCGAGAATCCCTCGTGATCTTCGCGCGCATGGATCTGGAGGGAGTCTTGGTCGAGGAGGTTTCCTTCACTCTGGCGATCGATGCCTGTGCGGCGATCCCCAGCCTGGAGCGCGGACGAATGCTTCACCGAGAGATGATCGAGGGAGATCGCTGTGGCGTCGAAGAAGATCTCCGCCTCGGCAATTCCCTGATCAACATGTATGTCAAGTGTGGGAGCATTCCAGACGCGAGAGCCGTGTTTGATTCCATGCCCGAGCGCGACGTGATCTCCTGGACCGCGATGCTCACTGCCTACATTGAATCAGAGGAAGCAGCGTTCGAGATCTTCCAGGCGATGAAGCTCGAGGGAATTCTCCCAAACCAAATCACTTTCCTCAACCTTCTGGCAACGTGTAGCCATGCGGGAATGCTACAAGACGGCCACCAGAATTTCCAGAGTATGATCGTGGATTTCTCGATCCCAGCCTCTCCAGATCACTACATCTGCATGATCGATCTCCTCGCGCGGTGTGGGAGACTGGAAAAAGCCCAGAATCTCATCGATGAAATGCCTTACGAACCGGATCCCGTGGCTTGGACGACGCTACTGGGAGGAAGCCGGATCCACGGCGACCGCTCCAGAGCCAGTGAATCCGCACGGAGCGTCTGGAAATTCGAGGCGCAAGCCAGACATCCTGCGAATTACGCGCTGCTATCGCACGTCTACGAGGAAGAACCCTAATTTCAGTGGGGGGAATGCCGCGATTTGAATGGATGCTGGCCATTAGCGTGTAGGCGGCAGCAAGGGTTCCATCCTCCTCGCTCCCAAGGCTCAGCTCCCGGATCGCATCAAACGCGCGCCTCCCGATCGCTACATTCTTCCTGTTGTGACAGGCGCTGAGCACCGCCATCCAGATCGCGAGGCTCGGCGTGAGATTTCCAGGCATTCTTTCGATCACAGCTATGGCTTCCTCAATCTGATTGGCACGGCTGAGGAGATCGACCAGGCAAGTGTAGTGCTCTATCCTCGGCGCGATCCCGTGCTTGACGCTCATCTCCCGGAAGAGATTCTTGGCTCGATCGACGAGCCCCAATCGACTACACGCCGAGAGGAGCGATAGCAGCGTGATCTCGTCGGGGCGGATCGATTCCTGGAGCATCTGGCGGAAGAATCGAAAGGCGTGTTCTTCGCTGTCGACGCAATGGCTGTGCGCGGCGATGAGAGCACTCCAGGCGGCCATGTCTGGGCTGGAGAAAGCGTGAAACGCCAGCTCAGCTGCCAGCGGGCTGCCACATCGGCCGTAGTGGCCAATCAGAGAGCAGGCCACTGCTGACTCAGCCTCCACGCCAGCGCGGCATACCAGAGAATGGACGACGCTCTTTCCTGGCTCGAGGAATCCATTGTTACTACAAGCCTTGATCGCAGCAATGAAAGTTCCAGCGTCTGGAGTGAATCCTCGAGCTCTCATTTGATCCAAGAGCTCGATCGCAAGCTTGGGAGATGCTCCAGCTTCCGCGACGCCCAAGATCATCACGTTCCAGGAGACGAGAGTGTGGCGCTTCATCCTCTGGAAGATCGCCCGGGCTCTCTCCAGCTCCCCAGATTTCACGTAGAGATCGAGCAGGCTGTTCTGGAGGAATTCGTCGTTGTCAACTTCTGGAGTGGTGGTGATTCGCACTGCTCTCGCTAGACACCAGCATCTAAGCTCTCGATCGGCGCTGTTCTTCGTCACAAGGCTGGAGCACGCATTGATAACCGCGACGAAGGTCCGTGCGCTTGGAGAGATGGAGCTCTCTCGTTTGATCATTCGATCGAAGAGCTCGAGGGCAAATCTGGGCTGGTCGTTGTGGACGTAGCCGAGGATGATCGAATTCCACGACACCAAGTCAGCTAGATTGTGGAGGAGGAGCCGATGAAACAGGCGCTGGGAATCGGGCATGCTTCCACATCTCGAGTAGCAATCTATCAGGCTGTTGGCGATGAAGACGTTGGATTCAAGCCCCGCATCCACGATCCTGGAGTGGAGAGCCATGGTTCTCTCAAGGGAAACGATCTTGATGACTAGTGCAAAGCCTTGGATCTCGATTTTCATCCCAGCTTCCCTCGCGGTGAGATCTTTGATCGCTTCCAGCACGGCGACGCAGCTCCTGGCATTCATCGACGGCATCGCTGAGAACATCTCCAGAGCGATCTCGCCCTGGCCATTGCTCGCGTAGCCGCCGATGATGGTGTTCCAAGAAACGATGCTGTGGATCTTGATCGCTTCAAACACGTCGCGAGCGTCGGCCATGCTTCCACTCCTGGCGTACATGTCGATGAGGCTGTTCGCGAGGATGAGCGCTGCCTTGGAGCTCTGACGATCGCGCTGCTGCAGCAAGCGAGCGTGGATTGCCCTGCCGCGATGGAGATCCCTAGAGCGGCCGCAGGATTTCAGTGCCGCGACGATGGCCGCGGTTTCTTGCTCGGATGGGGAAAGATCTAGCGATGGGATTGCTGGAGTGCTAGAACAAGAATCCGCCATAGCCTACCTCTCGCCGGCATTTCCCTCGAAAAATTTCTAGGGTTCTTGAGGGATGAGGCGGCTCCACACGCGCCTCTCCAATGTCCTTCGATCGCGAGCGTATTCTTCTTCCCCCGCGATGGATCTTGCGCCATTACCAGCGCCAGCGCCATCGCTCCAACAGCAGCAGCAGCAGCATCAGGACGAGAAAATGGCCAGGTATTCCATCAATTCCAGGATCATCCTCGATCTCCTCAAGAATGCCAAGCGCGGCGAGAGCATGGACGAGATCATGAGGCAGTGGAGTGGCTTGCTCACGACCTACGTCGTGGCGGATGTTCTCAAGCATCTCCCGAGCTCCGAGGCGGCTCTCCGGTTCTTCGAGTGGGCGCCCAAGCGAATGGGCTACGAGCACAACGTCTTCACGTACAACAAGCTCCTCCTCCAGCTGACGAGAGAGCATCGCCACGACAAAGCCAGCGCCGTGTTCCAGGAGATGATCGACAAGTCCTGCCAGCCCGATGCCTTCACCTTTGCGATTCTCTTGCGGGGACTTTGCCGATCCAACCAGCTCGAGAAAGCTCGCAAGCTCCTGGGAAGAATGAAGGAGATGGGGTGCGTTCCAGACGATGCCATCTACAATGCTCTCATCTCCGGCTACTCCAAGGCCAAGGATTTCGGCCAAGCATTCAAGTTCCTGGCCGAGATGGTGAAGAACCATTGCCTTCCAACGGTGGTCACGTACACGAACATCGTGGATGGGCTTTGCAAGGCCGAGCGGACCAGGGACGCGGTGAAGTTACTGGATGAGATGCGTGACAAGGGATGCTCTCCAAACATCTATACTTACAACGTGATCGTGGAGGGGCTTTGCGAGGAGAGGAAGCTGGACGAGGCCAAGAAGATGCTCGAGGAAATGGCTGTGCGAGGATACTTTCCAGACGTTGTGACTTACAACTCGTTCATCAAGGGACTTTGCAAGTGCGACCGAGTGGACGAAGCACGAAAGTTTCTGGCGAGGATGCCTGTGACTCCCGACGTCGTGAGCTACACCACGGTGATTAACGGGCTTTGCAAGTCCGGGGATTTGGATTCAGCGAGCAGGATGCTGGATCACATGAGCAACCGTGGCTGCACTCCCGACGTTGTCACGTACTCCTCGTTGATAGACGGGTTTTGCAAAGGTGGCGAGGTGGAACGAGCCATGGGTCTTCTAGACTCGATGCTGAAGCTCGGGTGCCGGCCAAACATGGTAGCTTACAACTCGCTGCTCGGGGCTCTCCACAGGCTGGGACATATTGGCAAGGCTGAGGACATGCTAGTCGAGATGGAGAGGCGGGGATTTACTCCAGACGTGGTTTCCTACAACGCTTGCATTGACGGGCTTTGCAAGGCGGAGCGAGTGAAGAAGGCCAAGGCCGTGTTTGACAGGATGGTGGAGAGGGGCTGTACGCCTAACGCCTCGAGCTACAGCATGTTGGTGGAGGAGCTTTGCAAGAAAAAGGAGCTTGACGAGGCTATAACTCTGGTGGAACAAGCTCGCGAGAAATATCAGATTGTGGACATTCTTCTTTACACGGTGCTGCTGGACGGGCTTTGCAAAGGTGGTCGATTCGACGAAGCTTGTGCGCTGTTTAGCAAAGTTTTGGACGAGAAGATCTGCGAGCCGGACGTGTTCTTCTACAACGTTATGCTCGACAGTCACTGCAAGCGCAGGCAGATTGATAAAGCTCTCCAGATTCACAAGCAGATGCTAGAGAAGAACTGCTGCAACGTCGTCACCTGGAATATTTTGGTTCATGGACTGTGTGTGGACGACAGGCTCTCAGATGCGGAGACGATGCTTCTGACGATGGTGGACGAGGGATTTATTCCGGACTTCGTCACGTATGGGACACTAGTCGATGCTATGTGCAAATGCGGAAAATCTGCGGCCGCTCTAGAACTGTTTGAGGAGGCAGTGAAAGGTGGATGTGTGCCGGATGTTGTCACCTACAGTGCTTTGATCACGGGGCTTGTCCACGAGAACATGGCCGAAGAAGCATATCTGCTCTTCACGAAACTTGTCGAGCGACGCTGGGTGCCGGATGACAAAACGCTCGGCCTTCTTCACAGGAAGCTGAAGCTGTTGAACAAGCCAAGGAAGGCGGAGGTGGTGGACTTGTACTTGACCACTTGACGAACAGGAGCTCTCGAATCCAAAACTGGTGAGTTTGATTTTTGTAACATTGTGAGTTTTCTTTGTTTTCCAACTCCTGCTTTCATTTCAGTGGGGATGGATGTCATGGCTGCGACAACGTTCCTATCTGCCACAATCCAGGACTCTCAAGTGAGCAAGGCTCAAGAAGAGCTTCAATGGCGTCAATTGTTTGAAGACCCATCTCAATGGTGGGACAACAGGAACCACAACGTAAGTGCTTCTGTATTGTTTTCTTAGTTTTCATGGGATGGGTCTTTACTGCAGCTACATGGTTCGCAGCACGATTTCAAGCACGCACAATCAGGTGCCACGCTCAGGATTGCTTCCTCGTTTTGTCCAAAATGGGCAAAGCTCGGCCTCAAGTGCTTGAAGGTTTCAAATTTCAAAGCCCGAGCACAGTACAGAGATGGTGAGGAGCCTATCTTTGAGAAGAAAACTCAGAGCACTGACAGTGACGGTACCAGGCAGAGTAAAAGTCGCTCAAATCAACATCGCGAGAGCGTCTCCAGCCTAGTAGCCGCATTGAAAGCCTGCACTGGCTCGAGAAACTGGGCTCGGGGCATGAAACTTCATGCGGTTGCTGTGGAAAATGGGAAGGACTCCAACATCTTCGTGGCAAGCTCGTTGGTCGGCATGTACTCGAAGTGTGGACGCATGGAGGATGCCCGGAAGGTGTTTGACGGTATGCAGAAGCGGGATGCAGTGTCCTGGAACACTGTGATACTTGGCTATGCTGAAAATGGTGACGGAGAAACAGCACTGGAACTCTTTGAGAAAATGCAAGCAGAAGACCATTTGTCACCGGACTCCTGGACGATTGTTTCTGCACTGAAAGCTTGCTCCAGCCTGGCTGCGGCAGAAAGATCAAGGGAAGTTTTTCGAGAGCTTGTGAAGATTCAGACTCTGGAGAAAGGAATGGCTGTTCACAGCTTGGCTTTGAAGAACAGGTGTGACTCGGACAGATTTGTGGCCAGTGGCTTAGTGGACATGTATTCGAAGTGCGGAAGTCTATCATCTGCTCGGGCAGTCTTCGACGGTTTCTCCGACAAGGACGTTGCTCTGTGGAACGCAATGATTCTTGGATACGCAGAAAATGGAAGTGGTGAGCTCGGGTTGAAGCTGTTCGTGGAGCTGATAGAATCAGATGTCGAGCCGAACGCTCGGACTTTCGTAGCAGCTCTCAAGGCCTGCACTGATCTTGCAGCGACAGAACAATCTAGAAAGTTTGATGGGAAGCTTGTGAAATCTAAAGCTCTGGAAGAAGGATTGGCCTTACATTCTCGGGCAGTGGAGAAACAGCTCGAAGCGGACATCTTCGTGAGCAACATGCTGGTCGATGTGTACGCGAAGTGCGGGAGCATGGCACTTTCGCGTGGAGTTTTTGACAGGATGCGGACTCACGACGTGATTTCGTGGACCGCACTGCTCTCAGGCTACTGTGACAATGGTGAAGAGGAGGAGGCACTGGAGCTGATCTCAAGAATGCTGCAAGATCCTGGAAGGTGTTCTCCGAATGCTCGAACGTTTGTGGCAGCATTTAAGGCCTGTGCGAACTTGGCAGCAAAAGAAGATGCGCAGGTAGTCGCAGGAAAGCTGGTGAAGATTGTTTCACTGGAAAGAGGGACGGCTCTTCACGTCGAAGCAGCAAAGTCCGGCTTTGCCTCGGACCTTTTCGTGAGCAACACTCTGATCGACATGTACGCGAAGTGTGGTGCTCTTGAAGCTGGCCGCAGTGTTTTCAAGCGCATGAAAATCCGAGCTCCGGCATCTTACAACGCACTGATGCTGGGATACGTCGACAGTGGTGAGGCCGAAGAAGCTCTGGCGCTGTTCGAAAGAATGAGCTGCGAACCAGATGGGCGAACTTATGTGGCTGCTCTCAAGGCGTGCACCATCCTCGCATCCAGGGAACAGGGCAAAGAAATCAGTGGCAAGCTTGTCAAGGCGGAGTCACTTGGAAAGGCCAGAGGTCTTTTCGATCGGGCTGTGAAAGGTGGATTCTTTCCGGACTTGTTCGTGGCCAACACTCTGATCGACGTCTTCGCAAAGTGCGGCGACTTGGAAGAGGCTCGCAGGATCTTCTACTCGATGAAGCAGCGAGACGTGGTATCGTGGAACGTCTTGATGCTCGGCCTGGCCGAGAGAGACCAAGGCAAGCTAGCTCTCGAGCTCTTCGAGGAGATGAAGTCACAGGCTCAGTGTAATCCCGACTCCAGGACTTACGTCGCAGCTCTCAAGGCCTGCGCAAGCGTCGGGGCCTTAGAAACGGGACGAGCTCTCCACGAAGTCATCCGCGAGCTCGGCCTGGACGAGAGCGATGGGATCCTCGCAACCAGCCTGGTGGATTTCTACAGCCGATGCGGGAGCATGAGTGAAGCTCGCGAGGTTTTCGACTCCATCAAAGCTCCCAAAGACGTGGTGGCTTGGAACTCGCTGCTCGCCGGCTATGGCAGGCAAGGTGGCGGAGACAATGCAACAGGCACGATGCTGGACGTGTTCTCGCAAATGCGAGAGCGAGGAGTGAAGCCAGTCGGGATCACTTACCTCTGCCTTCTCACGGCTTGCAGCCACGCCGGTTTGATCAACGAGGCACAGCGGCTCTTCGACGAGATGTGGAGCAAGAACGGGATCAAACCGGGGCTGGAGCACTACCACTGCTTGATCGATGCTCTGGGGCGAGCGAACAGGATCGAGGAAGCACTGGCTATGGCAGACAGGATGCCTCACGCTGCGAACTGCGTCACCTGGACGATGATCTTGAGCGCTTGCCACAAGTGGAAGAACTCGCGAGTGGGAAGGATCGCTTTCGAAGCGCTCCAGCGGCTGGATTGCAAAGAATCCGCCGCATACGTGCTCATGGGCAACACACTGTAGAGAACAATTTAAATCTTGAAAGCGCGGGGAAGACATATAGTTTGTAGATGGAACCGTGGTGTTTGTGAAAAGCTCTTCATCACTTGTGACTGTGATTCTAGAGGACTCATACTTTTGTCTCTCCGGTTTCAAAGTAGAATCCTCCCACAATTTAGAGCTCTTCGTAGCAGCTGTCAGCAACCTGGAGAATTTGGTGCAACAAATGATATCAAGAGGAAGAAAACTGGCAATGGTGACCAGGTCTACTTGAGGAGCCGGAGGAACCTTAACTTATGATCAAGAGCGTGGAAGATAATATTAGGAAGATCAAGCTCAGCACAAGTTGCCACAGCATTGAGGAGATGGGAAAGAAGGATGCAACTTACTTCCATGTACAAGAACAATCCTTCCGCACACAGGATGTATGGTGATAGGGTCAAGGAGTTGCATTTCTTCAAAGGTGTAAGAGGATGTATTTTTGTTAATTGTTATCTGTTGCGGCATGGTAATGACCATGCAACACAAATGTATTATGCCTTGCTCTTGAAGGTAGCAACAATGGCACAGGTAACCTCCAGATTTGAACCAACAAGAGCGATGTTGCTGCAAGTGGCTCAAAGAGAAACTTTATGCCCAGCACAAGCAAGGCAATCCTCCACGCAAATGAAAAGCTCCAGATCACGTTACAAAAATTTACAAAAATCTAAAAGCTGGAATACTCTTTAGTTTGTCTTATATGAAGCTTAGTTTCTTTAATTTTTCTTATATAGACAGTCGATGCACAATCACATATTCATAAACTGCTTATCTTTTGTATCTCAAAGTAGTTTTCTATTTAAGCATGTGCAGATATACTTTTTTGTTTTTAATTGTATACAAAAATATTATGCAAGCAATCACATTTCTATTGCTATAATAATAATCTATACATGATTGTGTGCATAATATTTTTTTGCATGGGACTGGGGCATGACACGCAAGAATGCATGTCATCCTAGACAAAGTGATGTCACCAAGTATACATTGAGTGTGGATTTTGAGCACACGATTGGGCACTAGTGCAGTGGCATTGTACTAGGAGGGGTTGAAGAGGAGCTTGATGGTGGCCAGGAGCACAGCAAGCTCTAGGTGGTTAACCACAGTCACTTGAACAAGTACTTGTATCCTAGGGAGATTTTAGTACAGCTCAAGGAGCACTGAAGGCATGTATTGTGACCATTGGAAGATTTTTCCTCGGCAACTGAGTAAGATTTTTGTCAGCGAGACACCACTGAAAGCATGACAGTTGCCAGCATGATCACCATCACCACTATAATCAGAGAGCTTGGACTATAGTTCAAGTGATCAGAATTCCAAAGGTGGTAGTGGTTCCTATAGGGTTTACCATAAAGAGAGCTTGGACTACAGCTTGAGCAAATATGCCAGTGGCAAAGATGGGAGCACATTGGAAGTAAACCACTTAATAAGTTATCTGAAAGTTGAAGAAGTATTTATAGTAGGTGCTACTTGCCATATTAAATTACTTACGTGCCCGACTAAGGAAATGTATGAATTATGCAAATGTTAAATGAGCTTTTTTCAGGTTTAAAACATTTTGTATATTACAATTTACATTACTCTAAATTGTGGCAACAAATATGTGATTACACATTTATTTACACATTTGCAAAAAAAGAAAATTGTTTTCAACTGCATTATATTTTGATTGCTATAATAGCAATTGAAACTTGATTGTGTGCATTATAATTTTGAACATATAAATACACCAAGTTCGGATTGCCTATGATAGATACATATAGGTCCGCAGTGCACATCATATTCTTGGCGTCCCACATCTGCTGCGTTAGCTCTGGGACCGTGAGCAAGCAGTACTGCTGCAAGCCTCTAGAGGTGAGTGGCATGAGAGAAGTGGAAGTGAGTTGCCCGGGAAAACTGAAGGCAGCAAATGATTGATGGAGGCATGTGGTTGTTTCTGCCAGGAATAAACTCCTCCCCCCACACATACACAGACAGCAGTGCACAAAGGTCAATCCTCCCATGTTCGAGCTCCTTCTAAACCCTTGCAGCTCGCAGCTCGTTGCCACTTGTCGTTCGCAGCTGCTTGTAGCTTGCCGCTCACCACCACCGGTGCTTGCAGCCTGCGACTGCCCATGCCGCTTGCATGCACGCTCACCGCTCAGACTACCATGTGATGTGGGATTGTGATGACGGGACATAAATAAAAAGCTCATGGAAATTATTCTCAAAGAATATTTTGCTGGATCAAGTGTCCTGAGCATGATCGGAGGGTGATCGTGGACAATCATTAGTATGTTTTATTACTCTTGATTCATGAACAAACGCTCAGTGCTTCGTTTCCTTACCTTTAGCCATTTCCACAATCTTATTTATCAAAAGCGCCTTGTTCCTGAATGCTTTTCTCCCCGTCTCTCTCATTCCAAACTTCTCCTTGGCCATTTTCTCTAGCTCAACTCTCTCAAACGCCAGAAGTCCAAACCCGTCGTCACAGGCATCCACATAACTAGTTTTCCAGACCCGGTTACTCGCAATCTCATGAAGTAGCTTGTAGTCTTTGGCGTTCAAGCCTGGCAAAGATCTATCATCAAACGGCTGAATGTGCAGCTGGAATGCAGGTGTTTCGTACGTGCTCCTCGACCACGGCTCCTGCATCCCTCCACTGTACTCGGGCTTGGAGGAACATCCCACGAACACATAGTGGAGCTTAACGTTGTCCGCGGTCATAAACTTGTCAATGTCCGGAAACCAGGTTCGCAGATAATCCAAGCTCATAAACTGCCAACATGACTTGATGTGTTCGTCGATATTGACAGTGTACTGGAGAGCCACAATGTGGAGACGGGAGTTCTCGTCCACCCAGGCCAGCACCGCATCAACGAAAGGAAAACGCACGTCCAATGGCTTGTAGAAATAACCATTGTTGGGGCTGATCTTCAACATGGTCTCGATACTGCAGGAAGGAATAATGTTGAAGTCCACCACAGTGATGTGGCCCGAGATCTTCAGCTCACCGAGCACGAGCCCCTTCTTTTGAATTACATTTGCCAGAACGTCCTCGCACAACCAGCCAAGAAATGACCAATTCACCTCCACGTCTTCACGATCCGAGAGCCGTCTAGCATACTCCATCCAAGCTCCATCCTGATAAGGCTTGATTTTCTCTTCCTTGGCACGCACCACCCTCGTGTAAATTCTCTCGATAAAGCTGGAGCAGTAGACTCCCCTAACAGGATCCAGCACGTAAGTTGCGTCGAGACATGCCATGGCAGCGGCATCAGGGCATTCGCCTTCAAGCCGAATAGCTTCCGCCTTCTTGCGAACTCTTGAAATCTCACGGTGCTGGGCAAACCTCAGGAGAACTTTGTCCCAGTAGTCATCCTCGCTAAGCAGCTCCACCATCTGTTCTTCACTTGGTTCCAAGAGTGCTGATAAGCCGACACTTTGCCGGAGGCTGGCACAACTTGTGGTCTCCGAGTCCAGCCAATCCCGCGTGACTTGGCCACAGCACTCGCATAGTGCCTCCAGAAAAAGGGGCACGAGCCCGGTGTGGTATTCGATGCTTTGCAATCGACTCTCAAGCTTTCCAAGCACACACCTGGATGCGTACGTGTTGAACTCAGGCTGGTCATAGGACGTTATCAGTTAGATGGACAATAGTATTAGTACCAAAGCTTACCAAGCTGAAGCCCCTGTCTACATACGCAAACAGCTCAAGACGTAGAGTAATAGAGTACGGATAATCATGCACAATGCGGGATTTCGGGCCGGTACACCACCATACCCTCTCCCCAGTTCGCAACAGCCGGTCCAAATTCTCAGAAACGCTACTCTTCCGCCCGGAATCGTAAGCCGGTCCCTGAAAGAAGTCCAAAGGGTCCAGCTTCTCGCCGCCATCCACGAAGAAGTAAAACTCCTCCTGCTGCTGCTGCTTACGGGCCTCCACAAAATCGGTAACATTTGTCACGGAAGAAAGCTTTTCAATAGCACATATCACGGTGTCCGAGCCCTCCGCCAGAAATGAAAACAGCAAACCGTTTCTCATCGCTTCAGTTTCAGCAATCGAGAGCGTCTCACCCACAAGGTAGACTAGCCGCTTCTTCTTCGCGTTACCGTGAGGCAGTGCTGAGGCTGGAGCAATTGGGCCGGCATTGGTGTTGTCGGCATGAACCCAGCCAAAGAGTATGCAGTAAAGCGCCCTGAAGTCGGACGACTTTCCTACGCCTTTGGGCCCATAGATCACGTAGTTATAATCGGACTCGTACCACCGAATGAGGAGTTCTCGTACAGTCGTTCTACCCACGAAGTTGAGAACTACTTCCGGCCTCGTACACGCACGACCTACACCAGGATATGGCAGGGCTGTCGATGTGCTCGGATCCGTGAGATCACTGTCCTTAAGCTTCAAAAGATCCTCAATCGCAGCTTTGCCCTCTTCAAGTGAAATTAAATCCCCGTTCGTCATAGCGCCAACCAAAACCCTAAGCCTGGAGCCGTCGGATCTAGGCAAATATCCATGCTGCCGTTGTGGTCCTCCCGGCTGGCAAGGGCTATAGTTGATAAAAAAACTCCCAGCAAAATATGGTTGACAAAATATCACCACCCAACCATGTTAAAAAGTGACTGTAAAACTCCTTGTTATGTTTTCTTTCTACACTGGATTCACAAACATTGTTAAGGGAAATGCTGTGCAAATGAAAAGAATTTAAAGGGAAAAAAAAATCCCCTCTTCCCTCTTGTCCAAGCCAAATGAGAGACACCATTGGTACTTGATTGTTAATGTCTAGAATTTCACTATATCAACATGTAACTGTGTTATAGAACTTTGTAGCTCCTAGATTCCAGAGATTTATTCTTTCTTCTTTTAAATTTTAGCTCCTCTCTCAGCTAATCAAATATCTACCCCGAGTTCACCTGTAAAGACGCAATTCAGCTCTGGCACATTCATTGCAAGAGCTTGGTGATGGGCACCGTTTTTTGGAGTAGAAATATTCACACTGAGTACGTTATGATGTCTGCATGATCATGAGCAGATGATCTGTGGCAATGAGCTGGGGAAAGGTCACAATCCAAGCTCCTGTAAAGGTGAAAAGAAAAAAATAAAATTAAGAAAATCGATGGTTCC